CAAACACAGTACCATTCATTCACTCCTTGCATTCACTTATCAGCCATCAGTCCCAGTACCACAACAGTACCACGTGTACCTACAGCAGCAGCTGCTTAACCCTCGCCCCGTTGGGGGGCCATTTTGCCCCCCCCCCTGTGGTTTTTCCTGAATAGTAAGAAAACGGCGGCGCGCAGCGCCGCCAAATTTTCAGTACCTTCCCGGGCATCAATTTGACACCTTCACACTAAATTTCAAGTCTTAGGTCACCTTAGGTCAGGAGTTATTGAGGTCAAACTGAGGTCATGTTCGAGCAAAAATGAGCAAAAAACATGCAATCTTGAAACGCTCGCCAAATCTACAGTTATCAAGCAATTTCAAAGTTCTTTATATGGTCTAGTAGACAAAAAACGGCGCTACAAAACTGATATCTCGGATTTTCAAAATGTTTGGTTTTGACCAAAAATATTTCAAAAAATTGATTTTTTAGAAAAACTTTTAAAAATCCTAAATTTTCCCGAATTTCGAAAAAAAACCGGAATATATGTGATAGTCCCAGCGCTCTTCTATATACATACCAAATTTCAGATCGATATCTCGTTTTTTGGCCAAGTTATAGCGAAAAAACTTCAAAAATGATGACGTCAAATTTTTGAACTCAGTTTTTAGCGATTCTAGACCACGTACGGCAAAACAAAGACCACCATTGAACTCCCCGTGACGAGCTGCATCGATTCGATAGGGGAAGTTGGGGCAATGCCGGAGTTGGGGCAAAGCCGAAATTCGAGATATTTCGAAAACCGTAAGACATGGATGCCACTGTCAGTGATGCTCTGAAGCTTAAGTGACTACAATTATCGCATGTTTGTTACGAGTCGTCATTCGGAATACTTCGACTGTGAGGGCGCCAAGAGCGTTTTCAAGCTACGTTTCCCTTGTACTACATGCGCCTTTGAAGCTGCATTTCTTACTCATTATGCTACCGTTTGTCTGGCCAATTCGGTCAAGTAATCTTTAGCATGTCTTTGCATAAGTGTGCTGCCTATTTGAAATTTATACAGCACGTTGAAAAGTTATGGGCCTGCAAATGAAAGTATGGCTGGCTGGGGTAATGCCGAAAACGTGCGATTACGCACGTGTTAAAAGCACGCTACGTGGACTTTACTGCTGTAGAATAGCAACGCGTAATTTTAGTCACACAAATTACACTTTCAACCGACACAACGGCCTGTTACCTATGAGGAATGATTTACCTGGCATTTTCTTATTATATCACATAATTATAACTTCCAGTGTGCACCGCGTCCTCAAGCTCTTAAAACGCGTGTCAGCTTTGATGAATTCTGGATAAAGTTTGAGATAAACTGCAGCAAAACATCAATGTCGGCATTCCCCGTAGATCATTTCTCCCATTTTCGGCTTTCCCCGCAGTCCGGGGCAACGCCGAAAAAGTCACTTCTTTGATGTTTTTAGTTTGTGCGCTTAAGGGTATGCGAATTCATCAAATGCGCCTGGTATGTTTGAAAGGCAAAAGACTGGCCTCTCGAATGACGCCAACAAGAATAGCTTATGTTGTCTACCTTGCGTGCTACGGGCGTCAGAAAAAAAGTCTTCGGCGTTCCCCCAACTTCCCCTACCCATTTTATGCAAAAATATTAACTTTGAAATTTGACCTAATTTGACCTGACCTTGACCTGACCTTGACCTGACCTTGACCTGACCTTGACCAAAACGTGACCTAAGCTGGCCCCAAAGGCTGCCTGACCCACATAATCGCATTTGTCATGTAAAATGGACCATAAAACATGTATCACACGACACTTTAATATTGTGACCCCCGTGACCTGACCTCTGTGACCTGACCTAGTATCAGTGACCTCAAATAGCAAAATATGTTTTGAAGAACATTTCCCCATCGATGATTTTCAATGAAATGCATTTTACTCGATTTTACAACGCATTTCTTGAAATGCCTGTAAACGGTGAAAATTGGACCTTTGACCTGACCTGTGACGTCATCGGTTTGACCTAGGTCAATAAAATTGGGTCACAAGGTAGTTCCCCGTTGGGGCTATCCAACGCCGTTTACCGCTTGTCGCTATGTTGCGTGGTTCTCGAGATCTTAGGGGGGGGGGCCAAAATGCCCCCCCCCCAACCGGGCGCGTTGCTCGGCAGAGCCCAACGGGGCGCGGGTTAAGATGGCGTTTGAAGGCACATTCGGTGAGGCATTTAAGCTCGCTCGCTCGGGAGCTGGTTAAACATTGCACTGCAGTGTGCTAGCCACCTGGTGCCGGAACATGTCTGTCTGGCGTCTGCTCTCTGGCAGTGCAGCTGGCCGATCTGGCGAGTAGGATTGTGGAGTACAGACATACGAAAACATGGCTGCAATGTCGGCAGGTAATTCAGTATCTAGAGCGACTTAATCAAGTCTATGCCATGGTAGCTCACGAGCAGCTTAGCGTGTAACCACCCGAGTTGATGAAACACGTCAGAAATGTGATCAAATTTGTGCCGGCCGCTCACATGAACACGAGCACAGAAATTTAACAGTTTCTGAATGCAGTGCATTTCTGTTTTACCGCCGGACCCGCAGATGGAGATGCAGTACTCGGTAGCGAATTGAGCAAACCACAAGCGCGTTCACAATGTAAGTAACGGTCCGGCAGGTATGACATCAGGCATCGGTAAAATCCTTTTTGAAAGGATTGCATTCCCAATCCACATTCCTTGTGCCGAAGTGGATTGCATTCCTACCCGCAATCCCTTTTTTCACTTGGATTGTGATCAAATCCGCAATCCTTTTTTGCAATCCTGTTGTATTATTATGTGCACTAGTGGATCTGGGGGAGGGCCGAGGGAGGGGGGCATAGGGCCGTGCCTCCATCCCCAAATCACCCATTTCTAGTCCTTAGTCTTGCGAGTAATTCCTATCTATATAAGGCACAGGTATTTTATGGGAAATATTTTTTGCCTCAAACACCCCCACATTTAAACCTCTACCCAACCAGTGTTTACGGAGCGAGCGAAGCGAGCGTAGGGTAGTGTGGGGTAATTTGAACATATTTTTACGTCTTCTCCGTTGTACCAAATTCCAGTTCAACCCTGGATGAAGAAAAACTGCTTCAGTAGCGCAAGTGTCACTTGCTTTCACCATGCAAGCCTCATTTTTGGACGAGCCGAGCATACCTTGAATAGCATAGCCTCACTTCTCCACCAAGTCACGGTGTGTTCAAATTGCCCTACCGTGGGGTAATTTGAACATACTGCCTTTGCCTGTCATAAAAACGATAGTCTCGCCAGCACCGATGTTGTTTGACCCATAAACAAATAGGCAGAACAATTCTAAACATATCTTCACTTGAAAAATCAACACAACAGCAAAAATAACAGTTGCAGAGTATCAATATCTGCACGCTGCACATCGGTCAGTTGACAGAATTCGCCCCTCTTCAATTAACAGAACGTCTATCATTTTTGTTCGATAAAAACTCTCCCAGCCGTACTACATCTGTTAAAGTGGTGCCAATCGAAACCTGGACATTTGGAGTTCTGATTTTGTCCAATGTCCAATTCGGAATTGGTTGGACAAAGGTAGCAGACTGGACAACATTGGACGATGGCTTGCTACACTTCAGCGCTTTTTATAAAGTAATCGTGCATAGCATTGATTCGACGAATGGAAAGCTTGATAAGCTCTCAATATAATGAACACTTCTCGGCTGGTAAAATTAAATGATAAGCAATATAAATGACGGTTTTGAGTGTTGATAGCTGCATAATTTTCGGACATATTTGGACAAATAGTTGACTTTAACATTTTTGGACGGAAAATCAACAAAAATGCCGGACATTAGACGGATATTAGACGTAAATTTTCTAAAACTGGCATCACTTATCTGCTACTGCCTTGGGTCGAAAATATTGGCAAAAAAAAAAACTGGGAGCGCTGTTTTTTTCGGAGCTATCCCTGTCTTCATTCAACTTCTCACACTATGTTCAAATTACCCCACGCTAAAAGTTATTTTGCCATTTTAAAATACAGGGTTTAAAAGCAAATTTCTTGGATTGAAGGCACTGATTAGGTCATTATACAACAAAAGCCGTTGCGTATTAGGCGCTAGCATTGCAAGATTTTGCGCTGCAATGAAGTTGCAATGACGTGTTGTTAAGCGTTTTTCCTTGCGAAATTGATTTTTTACACTGTGCGTCAACATCTTCATTCCCTGAAACTTTAAACCCCGTTCATATGATAGCCCTTTTAGTTACGATAATTTCTCTCATTGGTCTTATTGTCATGCCACTTATGGATTTTCCGTAATTTTCTGTTATTCACACTATGTTCAAATTGCCCCACATGTTCAAATTACCCCACCCTACCCTACTGAATATACCTACTGTCTATCAAAGCAGTGTCAACAAACGTAGCAATCTGTGCTCAAATGATCAAGCATTTAGGTGGTCACTCAACCCAAACCAGCCTGGCACGGCGGTAAAGTACCCACGGACCTGAGCCGATGGGACAGGGCGACTCAAAGCACTTCTGGATATGAAGGTCTAGACGTGCATTGTGTACAGCACAGCGCTGCCGACGGAACACGGTGCTGCCATCTGTTGTCGAGTTCCGACACTGCCGCCGGCACCGGAGCGGACGAGGCACTGATTAGTCAGGCTTTTAGAAGGAGTACACGGTGATTTTGCTGCCGTTGGGTGGCTTAGTAAGTTTGTCGATTACAGACTCTGGAAAATAGAGCACGTCAGATTACACACTGTTTGCTAGTGATGTCACATGGGCAACTCAGACTGATGACGTAACGTCGCCTACAGATACAGAAACAAACACAATGACACTTGTGTGTATCACTGACTAGTGACGTCATGAGGGTTGATACTGATACTGTGACGTCACTAACGGAGATACACGTCACCTATTATGACGTCACGTGCGTCAGTGTCTGCGCGTATCAGAGAGGCCGGTGGCGCCGTGTCGGCTGGTGTGGGTGGTCAGAGACGCCGTCACTTACTGGGGACATTGAAATCGATGGTCCGGGACTGGCCACCGTCACATCCCAGGTCTGTCTCGTGCAGGGCAGTCAGGACGGCCTGGCGGTTTTCGAGTGAGGATGTTAGGAACAGTCTGTACAGTTTCCTGCAGGTCACTGCCACCCTGCAACAGATCAAAACAAAACAGAACGGGTCAGAATACGGGACACAGTCACACAGTGGCACCAGCACAGCGGGCGACTCAACACGGTTAGACCATGTAGTAATAATGCCGTTCATAACAGAACATATGTGCCTCCAGCTACCTCAAGTTCCCAGTCTGGTGCTGCAATTTGCTATACATGTTTCACACGATACTAAGAGCCTTATGCCATCCAATATTATCAGGCGCGTAACCACGAGTCTGAAGTTACTGGGGACTACATGGAGGGCCGCGAAGACCAAATATTATATTTCAGGATCAGTCTTCGCCCGAGTGGGGGGGGGGGCGAAGGGGGGGGCGTTTTGGGCCACACCTGCCAGTTTTGTTTTTCGTTTTTGCTGCGCGTGTAAGGAAAACCGCGGCGCGCACCGCCGCGATACTTGTTATAGCTTATGATGCCTCACTTTCGCATCGTGTGTGAAAATTTTGACCCCAGGTCACCTAAGGTCAGGTCAACAGGTTAAGCAAAGTAACCATGCCTCTAAAAAAAACTTTGTGACTCTGTCATTCCTACTGTCATTCCTATATCTCAGTTTTCACCTCGGTTACCTAACGTCAGGTCAGTTTTGTGACCTCTCCATTATAAGTCGTGGGGATAAACTTGAAATGCTCTTCTTTTGGCCGAAAACATATAAAAACACCGTGACACAGGTAAACATGACACACTGTGACTGAACCGGAAAATTGCACATGTGACCCCGTCTATGCCCCTGAGGTTATCTCAGGTCATGAAACATCTCCAACAGTTTTTTACCATAACTTTAGGTAGAAACATGCAAGAGCGCTGAAAACACCATGGATGTGTTCAGCTCAACAATACCAATCGAATGACATGCAACATGACCTTTTCCGTGACCTTGACCAGGGGTCAAGTTTTCCAGTTGACCTTTTCAGGTCAACTTATGGTTATTTCGACGCGTCTCGACGAGACAAACGCGATGCCGGTAAAATCAGCGTCATACAAGTTTTGAGTAAAAAAATATGATACAAAAACCTTTTCCGCAAAAACGCCAACCTGGAAGCCAAAACGTTGACCTTAGGTCAAATCTGAGAACATTACTCAGAAGGGCCTTTCAAAGAGCTATCGAATACACTTTCCCGCAGGCAGCACTGCAGCTCTATTGGTTCCTGACTTATGCGCCGATTTGTGAAAAGCTGTCAAAATTGGAAAAAAAGTTCGTGAAAATTTTACCTTTGGTTCCAGTAACCTCAGCGATGACCTGATCAAAAATGACAGGTAATTCTGAAAGATACTGTACAGCGAGCTATCTGTTGTTTTTACCGCATCTTCCTAGCTTGCTTACTTTCCGAGATAATCTGGTGTGGAGAAAAAGCCCCCCCCCCCTCCCACCATGGCGAAGTTTGCTGAGAGGCCCGCCCGGGCGCTGGGTACACAAAACATCCATAGTTTTGTCCTCCGTTGACGACATATTACTATTCATGTCGATTTAGAGACAATATTTTGCTATTAAAGCAAATTGAGGAGTTCGTCGGTTTTACTGGGGACGGTCCCCAGTAACCCAAAAGTAACTGGGGACCGGTCCCCAGTGTCCCCAGTGGTGGTTACGCGCCTGAATATTATGTCCATATGGGTGGCTATCAAAGCATACAAAAGCGCAGCGTACAATCCTCAAAACATACAAAATCGTAACATACAACGCGCAAAACCTACAAAACAGGCCAGGTAGGGGACAGACCAAACGTACAAAAGCGCAGCGTACAAAATCCCAACGTACAAAAGTTTACCGTCCAATGGGTAAGGCGTACAATGGCAAATCAACCAATGATCAGAGCGTACAGAATTGGAACGTACAATGGCAAATCAAACAAACGCGTATCATACAAAATTGCAACCTACAAAACGAGATGATCGTATCATACAAAATCACATCGTCTAAAATCGGAAGGTACAAAATGCCTCTGGTTAACGCCGGGTGAATTGATATTTAACAAGTCAGCCACCAGATGGGGTAATGGTGCTGTGGCAGTGTTTTTTTGGAAGCCACCAGGAAATAGAGTGGAATGCCACTAAGTCCCTTAGAAACACGATACCTCTGGACGCTGCACCGGCTGGCTATCGACGCTGCGGGCGGGCTGCACCGGCCGACTATCGACGCTGCGGGTGCCGCGGGGACCGGTGCCGAGGAGAAGCGGGCATCAAGACCGTGAGAAATCTATTATATTGGCGGGTGTGCTTATGTAGGTAAATGAGGCAAACGTACATAGGTTAGGTATGTAACACCCTCATCCTTGATCACACACCCCTACCCACGCACTGCGGGGGGCTGTTTGAACAACCCCTCCGGTTTCTCGCGAATATCTAAAAAAACGGCGGCTCAGAGTGCCGCCGTGTTTTGCACACCTTATCATACATCTTTTCTACGCCTTCTGTGAAAACTTCAGACCAAAGTCATCCAAGGTCAGGTCACCATATCACGTCAAGTGACCTTACTACATGAAAAAGTTTCAATGCCTGTCACAGCTACACCGAGTGACTGATCACCTTGAAACTTTGAGTAATTGATAAAACAACAGTATACACTATACGCAATACACATAATGTATACAATAATAATAATAATAATACACAAAATGTATCTCTCGGAACTTCGATATCGGTGACCTAAGGTCAGGTCAATTTTGCGACCTCTCCATTATGAGTCAATGGGAGAAAATTGAAAGGCGCCTCTTTTGGCCGAACGTCATTCTAACCACTCTCAAACATCGAATTACAAGTAGAATGACAAACTGAACCGGAAAATGGTACCTGTGAGTTGACCCCTCTTAATGTCCCTGAGGTCATCTCAGGTCACGAATGGTATCCTACAGTTTTTCGCAAATAACTTTTGACAGAGACATGCTAGAGCGATGAAAAAACCTTATACGTATGTGTTTGGCTCGACGATACAGATCGACTGATGCAGCATGACCTTTTCTGGTCATGTCATGACATTGACCTGAGGTCATGACCTTGTCCTGAGGTCATGACCTTGACCTAAAGTAAATTTTTCAAGTTGAACTTTTGAGGTCAACTTATAGTTCTTTCGATGCGTCGCCTTGACGAGAGGAACACGATGCTGCTGAAAATAAGCTCGTGCATGTTTTGAGTCAAAAGGTATTGCAGAAAAACAGTTCCCGCAAAAACCATCTACCTATTCTGGCAGTTCATTTGGCCCCTGCAGGCTAAACCGTTCCTAAGCTATGCGACGGTTTTTCGAAGTTATCGAAGTTTGACCTGGAAAGTGGCTAAATTTTACCTTTGGTGACCTCTGTTGACCTGACCTTTGAGCTGACCTAAAAAGTGGCCGATATAATTTCTTCATTACTTCTGCCGCTCTTTCGAACGCCACCTACGGCGTGTCGCTACGTGGCCCAGGAGCCGAGTGAGAAGGGGAGTGTTCAAACACCCCCCACCCCCCCCCCCCCAGTGCAGGTGGCGCCGAGCACCGGCCCGGCGCCGGTTAGTCAATCGCATGGCGTTTAACATAACGGTACATCATCGGTGTTTAACCCGCGCCCTGCTGGGGGGGGATGTTTGAACACCCCCCCCTGTGTTTTTTCACGAATATCTAAAAACGGCAGCGCGGAGCGCCGCCGTTTTTGGCACACCTTATAATACATTTTGTACATACTATTGCTCTTAGCAATCGTTGAAAAATTCGAAGCGATCGGTCTCTTGGTGTAGCTATGGCGGACATTGAAGCTTTTTATGAGGTGAGGTCACTTCAAGTTATCTGGTGACCTGACCTTAAATGACCTTGGTCTTAAATTTTTAAAACATGTGTAGAATTGATGTATTATAAGGTGTGCCAAAAACGGCGGCGCTCCGCGCTGTTAACTATACTAAGATAAACTCTGCATATCTCAGAGTTTTGATATCGATGACCGAAGGTCAGGTAAATTTTGCGACCCCCCCCATTATAAGTCAATGGGAGAAAATTGAAAGGCGCCTCTTTTGGACCAAAGCCATTATAAAAACTCCCAAACAATGAAATACAAGAAATTAAGACACATTGAACATGAAAATAGTATCCGGGACCCCTGTTTATGCCCCTGAGGTCATCTCAGGTCACGAATAGTATCTAACAGTTTTTCGCGAATACCTTTTGATAGAGGCATGCTTGATGCTAGAGCGATGAAAACGCCTTGGATGTGCTCAGCTCGACGATACGGATCGACTGATATGCAACATGACCCTTTCCGGTCAGGTCATGTTGGTAAAAGTAAGCTCGTGCAAGGCTTGAGTCAAAAGTTATTGCAGAAAAACTTTCCAAAAAATTGGTTATTTTGGCAGTTTTTGCCCCCTGCAGGCAAAACCGTTGGCTCTAGGTCAAATCTGAGAGAATTATTCAGAAAGGGCGTTAATAGGGCTATCGAAGTCGCTTTTCCGCGGCGCTGTAGCTATATCGGTTCCCGAGTTATGCGTTGGCTTCTTGGAAACTATCGACATTTGACCTGAAAATCGGCGAAATTTTGCCTTTGACCACTGGTGACCTGACCTTTAGCCTGACCAAAAAAGTGACCGAAGTGATTTCGTTATTATTTTTGGTGCTCTTTCGAACGCCGCCTTCCGCGTATCGCTACGTGGCCCAGGAGTCGAGTTAGAAGTGGGTGTTCAAACACCCCCCCCCCCCAGCAGGGCGTGGAAATCCAGGACCCCCAGCGGGGCGCGGGCTAAAACACATTTGGAAAATATAAATATCTTCAATACAATGTGCGCTAACCAGTTTTCTCAGTAATTCAGCTAGCAAATATCGTGCTGTGTTGTTTACATCGAGGGTCAAACTTAGCCCGCGCCGTGCTGGTGGCCTAGGTTTTCCGTGTCGTGCTGGGGGAGGCGTTTTCACGTCCCCGTCTAACTCGGCTCCAGGGTCAAAGGTCACGTCACCAGATGTCATCATAGGTAAAATGTTGCCTATTTCAACCGCATAACTCGGGAACCAATAGAGCTACAGCGCCACAGAAAAGCGCATTCAACAGCTCTTTCAGAGGCCTTTCCGAGTGCTGTTGTTAGATTTGACCTCAGGTCAAATATAAATCGTGACGTTAGTATCAACGCACGATGCGTTAGACGCTGGCAAAACGCCAATACGGGCGAGGGTTAAATCATATGTGAACTAACCAGTTTTTGAGTGGTTAACCTACCAAACATTTTAAATGTGTTTAACAGGATGTTTACAGTGAGGGTTGAACTTGAAAAGACGGACCATTGCACGATGGGACCGCAGCCCGAATTAGCGCGACATTGGTGGATTTGCCGCCCTTTCCCAAACTGAGTTAGGCTGTTCCACGTAGTTCAGAAATATCCATGGACCACGAATCTGCAAATATTTTCGTCCATGGTGTATAGCGTCCGCGCCACATCAGCCCAAATACAAAGTTCTGTGACAAGCATCGTAGACCCGTTTTCGTACGGATAAAAGTAGCAGCTAATGTAGGTAAGACAAAATATATATTAGACGGCTTTATCAATATTTTCGGGGTATAACCTGATAGTTTAGACCATGGGCTTCACGATGGAAAGAAAAACTTATTACGGAATATATAAATACGCTTCAAATGTTAAGTTTGTAGGTGTTTTTAAAATTGTGACTTAATTTTACTGTTATAAACATTCTAGAATGCCGATATAAAACGTCCCGCTAGGTCGCGCTCTTCTTAGTTATCAATATATGGTCTTTACCGATCAATTGCCTTTCAGAAAATGTATAATTTAGCTGCTGCAGCCTGCTACATCGAAAATGAGGGGCATTTTTGTTTTTACTTCAGGTCGCCGGTGCTGGCCGTGCGCGGTTACCACGAGCCGGCCGGAAGCTGGGAGTAACAGATCCGATCCTCCTAGGAGTCGAACAAGTCTGCCAAGTGCCAACTATATTTAAGTTTTGTCCGGAAATATCCGTACCTGCTATCGGAGTGTCTGATGATACACTTTTCTGACCCTCACTTTATTTGTTATATAGTCCATCAGGCTATCAGATTCCCATCATGGTTTTGGTGGCTACATTATTTGCTTATCGGAATTTCCGGTTCCGTCATGACTTAACCTGGCAGGTGATGCCATCTTATCACGTGACCGAACCGAGTCAAGGTCAACGCTGGTCAACTGATTAATTAATTGATTAATTGATTAATCAATTAATTAATTAAATGACTAATGATTATTTAATTAAATTTATCAGGAAGTGCTTCGAAAGTACACCGACTACCATTTGTGTGATTCTATCATCCCTTTCATGTGAAAAGCGGGCACGAAACACGAAAAAGTACCGATGTCGCGCTAATTCTCGCTCCGATCCCATTGTGCATTGTGAGAAATAGTTTTAGTGTCTATGCTACATATTTTGCGACCGATACCCCCTAAACTCGATTACGACTCGCTGACGAAGTTTTGTAAATACAATTTGAAAGCTCCGACCCGAACGATTTCTTGTGGAGTAAAGCTCTCATTCACTTATTACATTAACAAACTCCACAGTCCACATCATATCCTTAACTGTAACTAAGCTGTTGGTGGCGGTAAACACCCATTTGGATGTCGGCGGTGACGCCTAATGGTTGAGCTGACCTGACCCGACCTACCCAAAATGCACGGATACATCGTCTTTGATCAAAACTTGCACGAAATTCGAAATCAGAACGCCGAAAAAAAAACTACATAACAACCTCATTTTAAAAAGTTAAAATAGGCCACGATTTCCCTGACCTTTAAGTCATTTACCCGACTTGAAATGCCAACTAATGACCGGCGATCTTAAAATCGGGTATCATCGGCTTCCTTTAGTTACGGTAGGACGTTCATGTTTTCGCGAAGCTATAGTTCGGTTAGGGACTGAACGATTGGGGATCCAACAGAATCCCCCCCCCAAATTATATGCTAGCGGCTGAAAACGCGGTCACGGAAAGAGCATACAAACACATAAGTCCTTAATCCTCGCCCGTACTGGTGTTTTGCCAGCCGCGAACGTATATGCAGGGGGGGGGGGGGGGGGGTCCGTTGGAGACATAGTTTGTTACGAGAGACGCCCATTTCGAGGTTTAAAGTCCATGCTATTAAAAGCCTAATTTCAGGTATTTAAAATAATCTTGGACCGACCTGTGACCTCGGAACTCCACTTGAAGGTACTCATCACATCAGAAGCGTCTCGTAGCGTTATTTTGTTTGCTGCCTCGCCCGTTTCGCTGCGCCTCGAGCTATGGGCCATGGGCTATGGGTTCTCGAGCTATGGGCTGGGAAAGTTTACCCCCCCCCCCCCCACCCAGCAAGTGGTGTGTGGCGAAATACTCCAGCAACTGTCGGGTTAACCTTCGCCCGTATTGGTGTTTTGCCAGCCTCGAACGTATAGGGGGGGGGGGGGCGGGTTCGTTGGACCGCCCCCCCCTTGCCGTTTGGCCCCTGATCGAGCTAGAGCTTCGAGAAAAAAACGAGCGTGCTGCTCGTGACGAGAGGAAGCCGGGGACCGGGGTGATACCCAATTTTAAGGTCCTAGGTCATTGGTTGACTTTCCAGGTCAGGTCAATGACCCACAAGTCTGGAAAATCGGGACCTGTTAGAACATCGTAAAGTGAGGTTGATGAGGGATTTTTCGGGGTGCTGACCACGAATATCGTGTCAGTTTTGATCATAGATGATGTCTTAATGCATTTAGGCCAGGTCAGGTCAGATCAGGCCAATCAGTAGACGTCCTGCCAGGTATTCATAGTACGTGTCAGCCGTTACTGACAGGCTGACAGCTTTGTAACATGTTACGAAGACACCAAAACAACTTCGTAAATGTTCAAATGGTTGCTTAATTCGAAATCAGCTCCAAAAAGTAGCCTAGAAACATGTAAAACTCGAAGAAGTGAACCTAGGTCATCAAAGGTCAATGATCTGACCTGACCTTCAGGTGACCTTGACACCCACCATAATGCATAGGACCAACATCATATCACATGTTTGAACGTTTGACACCGCAAAAATACTGCAAACGCGCGGCTAATACGAGCCGACATACGCCGAATCGCGATTCCGGCCAAACATGGTCTCGAAAAATAGGCCACAGGTCAAGGTTCATTTGGGACAGGGTCATGAAATTTTGAGGGTAGGTGTACAATTGATTGACTCGACAGTCGACCGTACTGAAAGTTTCATCGCGATCAACCGCTTTTTACGCGAGTTATTCGCGAAAAACCATGGGGGTGGCGGTTCGTTTGATCCTCCCCCCCCCTATACGGGCGAGGGTTAAGTCAGTTAAATTTCTTTTGCAGTTTTCAATTTAATTTACGAATTATGTTCCGGCAGCTATGGTCGAAATGAGCAGAATGCTGCTCAATCATCCAAGCGCCACTTCGTTCTCCGGCCCGCAGAGAGCGGGGATGTAAGTCAGGCACGGCCTTGGCCGTTTCCTCTGGGGCCGCGCCGTCTGCCGAGGGAGGGGAGACCTTGCCCAGTCTGAGGGAGGGGGACGACGGCGCCGCCGGGACGCCCCGTCGCTCCGAGACCGGCGCTCACTGTATAAACAAGCAAAAAACGCTGACCGTGCAAAGCTTGGCTGTTCTTTGACAGAGGAGGCATCTAGCGGAATATTTCGTAACTACGCAAGCTTCTAACAAAGAAGTCGCTTGAAGCGCAGATGAGATGTAGGTTTTGATCCAACTGAAAATTGACATCTCAAGGACGACGAAATGATGTAAATTTATATGAAATGGTTTTGTATGATGCGTACTTTGATTAATGCCATTAATTTCCACTGCTTTTTTGTGTGAAACGATTTTGTACCTTGCGATTTTGTATGACACGATTTTGTATGCTGCGCTTTTGTATGTTTTGACTGTCCCCTACCCGGCCTGTTTTGTAGGTTTTGCGTGTTGTATGTTACGATTTTGTATGTTTTGATGATTGTATGATAAGATTTTGTATGCTTTGATATGGAGCCTGTCCATATCTATATTAATACCAGTCCAGTCCAGATAATGTAGCTGCCCGTCCGTTTGTCCGTCTGTCTGTCTGTTTCCATCGCATCAACACAACCACCTGAATCAGAAAGTCTGCTTGTGGATGCCTATTCTTCTGTTGCGAGTTTGTTTCCATTTCCAGTGTCCCCGTGCCCGTATCACTATGTAAACCTCCAAGGGATACCCAGTTTCTGTGATTATTGCGGTCTATCCAGATACACATAATATCCGCCGTCGCCGTCCGGCCGACTGACCTGCTGACCGCTGTCACCTCTGACTGGGTCAGGGCAGGGATGTCCGTGAGGCGCCGGGTGTCTTTGAACTCCAGCGTATTCAGCTGGGAACAGCCGTGGAGGGCGGACAGCACAGTTTCGGAAATGACGCCGGATCCGATAAAAGTGACGTCCTTCAAGCTGGTGAGGGCAGCCAGGAGGCGTCCCGTCGCTTCCGGTGTCACAGACGGTGACTCTGCAAAACATAAAAACAGACACACATACCGACTGGAATGGCTGCAACTCAAGACAAATAATAATCACAGCAAAGTAGTTAGTACTAACCAGTACGAAACTGTTTGGGAAACGGACAAGCGAGAGCAATAAAGGAATAGTGGGAGAGCGCAGCAGTAAGATCTAACAGCTTTATATGGGCCATCCTTCTAACAAGTCCATAGCAGCGTAGCAGTCTCGACTCTTGAGCGCCCGTCGCTCTTTGAGAATGAGAAGCCTAATCATATACTATATTGATACATAATAGCCAAATACATATACTCATTAGCATGATCAGTACATCTGTTTAACTCAATTTGATAAAGTACAGTAGTAAGCAGAACGTAAGAGCCACGTGTTCCCAACATATCGACACCTTTTTTTATACCCCACATTCTGTTCTCCGGTGAATTTCCGGGAAGCACGAAAGATCTCTTTTTACAAGTGTCCAATCGTCCGATCCTGATCAAATTTGTGTGTTCGTAAGCTTGTTCTGGCATTGCTTGATCTGCCAGTGCCAAGACAGACAAACTTGAGAAAAATGGAGTGACTGTACCTTTTTTGAAGGTTGCTAAACAACTTGTCTGAACTTCACGGGAGAACAAATGTGGGGTTTAAAAAAGGTGTCGATATGTCATGGTCATTGCCCATTGGTCAGTGGTCACGATATCTTGGCACCGATACTCTGCTCGTGTTGGTGTTGCTCACCAGACATGTGCATGGATCCGAGAGCTGGATCTATGATCTCAGTGGATCTCTCGACAAAATAGAGGGGTTGAAACTTGGATCTATGATCCGAGTGGATCTCTCGACAAAATTCAGGGGTTGGATCTATGATCCGAATGGATCTCTCGACAAAATTTAGGGGTCGGATCTATGATCTCTGTGGATCTAGCGGGCAAAAATTTGTGGAGGACCTATGATCTGTATGGATTTCGCGACAACATGTAGCCAATGAAACCCTTATCCTACATAATTGTACACCTTACAGTGCAATACAATTGAGAATTGTCACTTGTGGACATGGTTAAGACCAGTTGTAATCATTAGGCATCATCATTAAATTTGAATTTAAATCAACAACATGTGTAGGTACTACATTTAAAATAAACCAAGAACATGCACATTGCTACTTTTTGTGACCAATTGTAACTTTTTCATGACAGCACTGATGACAATCTTATCAACAAGCTACAGCCACTTTAATTCAATGATCAAACAATACAGACAGATGCAGTGGCAGCGGGGCACAGCAGATTTTCATTTTGGTCCCATTCTTTCCATGCAATGCCAGTAGGGCTAATGTTAAAATGCCAAAATCTATGGGGGCACTGTACCCTGGTGCCACTCCCCCCCCCCCTGTTCCGCCGCCTAAGGACAGATGTTAGGAAATCAAACCTGGAAGCCAAATAGGTTAGTTTTGTTAAAAATAATCCAGAAATCCACTTCTGCCAGGTATGAAATCCCAATCCAGAATGTTCGTATGAGCTATAAGTATGTGCAACACAATTTCGATTTAGTAAGAATAGCAACCAACCTCTAATACTTTCCTTATAAAATTACAATTTCAAAAATGGCATAAACTTCTTCAGCTTACCTACTTTTGGCATCGTGCCACGTGTGGTGCCATGCTGTGCTTTCTTTATGAGAGAGCCTCCCAAAAAAGACAAACGAAATTCACAGCTCACGTTTTGGTAATATTGTTTTATTACGTCATTATCGTTTGACCAATGAAAAATCTTAATTTGACTAAAACCGTAATGATTCCAAAAGATTCCCCGTAACAGGCTCTTCAAACTAATGACGTAAGATATTGAGAATTGTGATTCTTTTGAAAAGTGAATAAAATAAAGATGCAAGGCGCACACCCGGCTCAGGGCCATGTAATACCGTTTCAGCTTACGTTTACGTCATTAAATTCAACGCTACAAAGATGATATTCACAAACAATTGTATCGTAAAATAACGTGAGGCAGAAAAAATGAACATTCTGATGAAAAAACTCTAGACTTTTAAATTTCCAGTTTGATTTTTTTTATTTATTTACATTATACTCGAAGGTGGAACGCTTAGCTCATTTGTTATTTGAAATGACGTCACGAGGTCTATTTAGATACTGAATAATCATTTTACGGTAAATATCCAAGGCCATTACAATTGATATTTCGCTTCCCATCGCTTCCGCAGGCTGTTGAATATTTTTATACCTTAGTTTATATCTCAGTTTATTTTATCAAATATTTCTTTCAATAGATTGAAATACCTCTTCCTAACCAAGCCACATGTGCAGTGTCAGAAAAGTGGCCCGTTTCTAAGTTTTCTTGAACTCGGAAGATTTGTTCTGCGAAAAGTCTTTACTAAAGAAAAGCAATTTTTGTTCTGTGAGCAAACGTTCCCTAAACAGATGATTTCTGTGCAACAAAGTACCTCTACCCATCTATGTCAGCATTATCAGGCTTGATGGAGCATTTCACAATGGGTCGAACTTAAAAAAAAAACCAACTGCCTACCCATTTTGACTGATTTTTCTTCTTCAGCAGATCAAGTCATCTCTCTCCAGTCTCCATGGCTACTGAATGAAGACCTGGACTCCTGAATAGAATGCAGTACAAACTACTGACCTACTCCCAAGAACCAGCACCGCCTGCTACTCTTGGTTCACCAGCTGACAGCTGTTGGCAAAACTTTCACTGGTATTAGATTGATAGATATAACTGGTATTTGATCGGCAGCCTGAAGCCCATCAACTGTGATTTGTTATGAACAGGTGATCTGTGAATTGTGATCACACAGTGTGTGCATTAACAATTAATCCTGTATTTTATAATACAAATGTTGAAAATTTTGTCACTTTTTTAACATCTGGTTCAACACGTATGATATGAATGAAGGACTACACAGCATGCAGGAGCTGGAAATGGGCAATGCCCCAATGGATATGCAAACTTAACGTAATCAGGTGAGATAAACCTGAAAAGCTCGATTTCATATCCATATTAGCATGCAGTGCCTACAAAGTAGTGAATGCTTAAAAAAATTAACTGACAGGCAACAGCAGTTCAAACTTCAAGTTTGAGTTAATAACGTAGTCAGGTGAGATAAACCTGAAAAGCTTGATTAATTTACACGTACACTGGTCTGAGAAACAACACTACCAAGCTAGTGAGTAGTAAATGGGCAATGCCCCAAATGGATATGCAAACTTTACGTAGTCAGGTGAGATAAACCTGAAAACCTCAGCTTGATTAATTTACATGTACACTGTTCTGAGAAATGACACATATACCAAGCTAGTGAGTAGTACCTAAATGCTATAAGAAAATTATGGGTACTGGATAAGCATATTACCCATAATACATATATCAGCACAACCTATCCTACCTTTTCTCACACAAATCAAACGAAGGTACCAAACAAATCACAAAAATAACACGCGAGTCATGGGAGACGAGTCATAAGCCTTGGCCTTTTGACGTCTAAAACACTGCCATCGCCGCACCAACAAGCTCGCTCCCCGCCCGGCTCCCTTCATAACGCAACCGGGCGCAAACTTTTTCTGAGTTCTCGCAGAACATATTTGGTGTTTCCGTGGTGGCAGACTATCCCCTGGTAAAAGTTCCCAATTGCAGTAAAGTATGAAAAAATGATATCAGTAGATGTAAAAAAGATTTTTCTTTTCAAAAATGTCAAAATTTAGCAATTTCATAACGTGTGATGCCCATATTTTACGATAGTCTGCGGGGTCGTTCCGTGCCTGCTAAGGTCAGCTTCACTTGGATCGTTTAAGACACCTAGACATCATTCATTGCAAAACAAGGTATGGCTAGAATGGAAATTGATTGGAAAAAGTTATAGAATAGTTTTTGTTTCGTAAAAATGAGCAAAAAAATGCGTATGAGGATAATAAGTGACAGCGTCTTTTGAGGTATCGCCTTTTTGGTGCCGGCATAAGAGAACTTGGACGAATTTATGGCAAAATTTTTGTGAATGATATTAAAATGAACAAAATAAACAGTTATTGTCTTTTTGATGCCCTTTTCCCATCTGAATTACACAAAAAAATGACTTTTTTTATTTTTCTCGAACTCATGGCAGTAAGATATCTTAACTTGTAATAAATTGACCGAAGGCATTATTTTGTGCTGCATATTATTCATTAAATTTTGTATTAAAATAAATTGAACATCAAAATCGTTTTTGTCATTCGGCAATGAACTTAACTAGCAACAAATACTTTTTAAAAAATAAATACATTCTCAGACTAGGCAGCGCTGTCTGGCGCGTCTCCGCGCGCTTTTACGCGACTGCGCCGGGTTAGTCTCGCAATTTGCGTGAGTTATTGTAAAGAAGTATAATTTCGTGGGGTAATTTAATAGTTAAATGTTTATGTGCAATTTTTCTCGTTTTTTTTCATACTCAACAATATGATTTTTGTTTAAAGGCTGAGATACTGAGACTCATTCGACTTCGACCATCTTCGTTCAAGGAATCTGAGGTGGGATTGTTCATGTCTATTTTTGTAACAAGCTCAGGTAATGGTAATACTTAACATAAACAATGTGTTTCAGTTTGTCTTAACTTCTCCCTTCTTGATTATACCTTCACTTCTACCTAGGCTAAGAAAGTGATATCCAAGGGTAGCTGCTTTCACATTAGTAGCCTTCTGGTGGGTTCAGATTGTTTTCTTGCATTTAGTTATGATATGTTCTTGGATTTCCCTTGTTAAAATTAGGCAAATGTGAATATTAATATTTATATAGGTATGCATCATTATACTTGAGCAATGGCAATGTAAGCTACCTGCCTATTAAGTAGATACAAGATTGCATGGGGATTCATTAAGCAGGCGTCTCACGAGATGCCAGATCTGAAACATAATCTAACCCGACCTAACCTTACCTACTAGCCTACAACCTACAAGCCTAACACCTACAACCTACATTGCTATCGTAGACTGATCTGGCATCTTGTGAGGTGCCTGCTTAATTATTACCATTGCATGTTGGTCATGTGCAGGTGTTTCACTTTGATATGTGCTGCATTTCAACAATATCTGCCCATTATGCTAAAAAGAAACTGATATAATGCAGTAGCTTCATTAAAAATTTGGAACCATAGCTAAGATCCAACTTTGTTCTGCGACCTTTTCAAAATTTTAGTCTGCGAACTTAGATCCCCAAACCACTTTTCTGACACTGCACATGTGTCAGTATCATGTTTTATTGTTTCTCAATTAATTGTGTTAGCTGGAAACTGGAAAGCCTCGTGGTTGTCTAATGCAAGATTGTCTTATCAATATCATTATGTAGATTCTAACATCAACATGAATTGTGATGTGGTAGGTACCTAGTAATGTATTATTCATTAGTCATTACTTTGACTTACCTCTATGTTAATTGTTAATGCAAACTTTTCTGTTGGTATGTGAACAATCTTCATGTCACTCAATTCTCTCAAGTTGTGACCGTCATGAGCCTCCTTTACGAGTATTTTGTATTCTGTATAATGTAACTGGAGGCCTTTAGTAATATGGCCTTTGTATATGATTGATTGTTTCTAACCATACTTTGGTATTCATAACTTCTTATTGAAAGAAAGTTGTTAACATTTTGAGCACCTATGAGCTATGATCCAAATGGATCTCACGACCAAATTGGGGAGCCAGATCTATGATCCAAGTGGATCTAGCGACAAAATTGAAGGGTCAGATCTATGATCCCAGTAGATCTCTCGACAAAATTGAGAAGTTGGATCTATGATCTGAATGGATCTCGGATCAGGATCCATGGGATCGGATCTCAGATCCATTTTTCCGGATCCAAGCACATGTCTGTTGCTCACCATAAATGAATAGCCCTGTGACTGTGTGGGTCGCCAGAGCAGCAAGCTGGTCCAGGAGTGTGTCCGTTGCCAGCTGTACACCGACCAGCAGTCCCTCCGACGGATATCTGACGAAGGTCAGCGGTGTCCGCGTCATCCCCGACCCTGTAGAGAAGGATATAATCGCCCGTTAACAGCATTGTGGGTAGGGAGAGCGTTGGTCGTGGGCACCACAACTTAGTCAGCTTATCGACAGACAATACTCGTATAGGTGGCATTATAATCACCTGCCTCCCACAATTAGGCTCGGGACAATAAGACTTTCATTATTCATTTGTTTTCATCGTATTCTAGTTCTTTAGAAACATTTTTGTTGGTTTGATGTTAAGTGCATTGTGTTTAGATATTGAAGCTAGGTTACATAGCTGTTGATGGTATGTTTAATCAACGCGCATTGTGTTATTGATTCAAACCTCAGACTTAATTACTGATCAGACCTCGGCCGGTTTATGTGCTAATAAGCAAAAGAAGTAAACCGAACGAATTCGCCCTTATTGATTCAAACCTCAGACTTAATTACTGATCAGACCTCGGCCGGTTTATGTGCTAATAAGCAAAAGAAGTAAACCGAACGACTTCGCCCTTCCCTTCTTTGCAAATTTCTTTCTCTCAACACACAATCATGCAACCATTTCAGGAAAGTTCATCCACTTCTTATTAGGCTACGCCATTCTCGAGATCCAGTGTCGCAACTATGTACGTGTCGACGCGACGGTGCTAGAAACTCACTCCACCAGCACCCTATCGACCCTTCTCACCAGTAATGTCCAGTCTCCTCAGCGACTGGGGCAGCAGCCGCAGCCACTTGCCGGAGCTGTCCACGGGTGGGCTCACATCGAGCCGCTCCAGAGCCTTCAGCGGCTCCAGCAGCGCCTCCAGCTGCCAGTCGCTGATGCCGGCCGGCAGCGTCAGCTCACGCAGACTGGAAGCGTTGGCACGCGCCAGCCGACGCAGAGCAGAGACCCTCAGCTTGAAGCCGCGCAGGTTAACCTTCTGCAGGGCGTGGCAGGTGGCTGCTGGAATAAAGCAGCACCAGTCAGTGAATAAGTGGTCACTTGTATGGACAAGGAATGACAGTTGCACCGGGACAAAGCGTACCAGTTCGTGCTTAGCGCGTTTCACACAGGACTCACCGACCAGTCGGAGGTCGGTGTCCGTCTCAGCGGTCGGCGCCTGCAGTTCGGTCATCTTCGGCTGGTCCTGCACCTTCAATACGAGCTCCAGGCTCGTGGCCGGCGCCGGGACCTCTCCACTACGGGTTTTCTGATCGGTTAGTTCCCGCCGACAGTCGCTGACGATATCGTCGACGGCGGACCGCCACCGTTGGCAGACTGTCGACACAGACGGAACAAAAAGGAACAGATTACATGCCAGCGGCGAGCTTCGGAATGAAAACTCGCATACAGGGAGCGTTTGCAACACTACCAAAACAAATAGGTGATAGCTAATAACCACGCTGTGGTTTTTGGTGACCTTTCGCTTCTCTAGAAACCCTCCATCCACGTGCAGACTTCTGATCAGATTGTCCCAAAGCCGACCACTCCGCTGGCTAAGTTGCGTAGTTGCGAAGAGACGCCTGCTGGATCTCCACCGAACGTGACCGTTCCGACAGCCGTGGCCGCCACAGCACAGGGGTAGCCCTGTGTACCGTGTATGAGTGCGTGTGTGTGTGTGTGTGTGTGGGTGTGTGTGCGTTTTTTTTTTTATCCATGACAGCGACCATGTTTGACTCGGAGCTTAATAGCCACACTTTGAGTGGACCGCTCTACGATGGCAAATACAAATACAAATACAAATAAGGAGAAACACCATATCGATTGTATGTTATTGTGAAACACGATACATGACCTCGCCAGTCGGCAGGACACTCACCCCGCCTGGCGCGGAACATCTCCCAGCAGTCCATCTTGCTCAGCACCATCTTCAACAACTCGTGGTCCAGAAGATAAATGGCAGGAGCCCATTGCAGTGCAGCCTCTCGCACGTCGCCGCCCGCCAGTCCCGCCTCCTCCTCAGCTTGGGTGATGACGTCACAGTTTCTGATGGCGCCACACTTGTCACAAGTGTCCCCCTTCGGAGAAGCCACCTCCTCGCCGTCACTGAGACAAGATGACGTCAGTGTGACGTGGTGTGACGTCATCAGAGATCGGACATTAGACGATAATTTCCAGAAGTCTCCACTTCCAAGACAGCACCGTACCATCGATCTGTGAAAGCCCATCTAGTGTCCCCTCCCCCCAATCCCTGTGCCACCCAGCAGCCTGCTGCCTCACAGTCACTCACAGACAAGTTGTCTACAAAACCGAGTTGTCTCTTACAAACTGTCTAGTGTCTACACAACCGGTTCGGCTCTTATCTGTAGACAAACTGTCCATACAACCGGTCAATATTTACAGACAAACTGTCTACACAACCCGGTTTACTCTTACAAACAAACTCTCTACATATCCGGGTTGACTCTTACAAACTGTCTTCACGTACACAACCGGTTTTACTCTTACAAACTATTCACAATCCCTTACAGTCAAAACCGACTTACTTCTACTGTTAACCCCCTAACGTCATCCCACCGACTAACCCCCACCTCACCCCTGCTGCCTCTCAGTCTCACCTCTGCGAACGGTCGGATGGCGCCGCTCGCCGGCGGACCTCCTGCCGCAGCTCCTCCACGACGACCTGGCGAGTGGTGCGCTCCTCGAGGACAGCCTGCCGCAGGCGGACCACCTCTTCACGTAGATGGACCACCTCCTGACGCAGTGTGGTGTTGTCTCCCTTCAGTGTGGCGTTGTCTCCCTTCAATGTGGCCACGTCTCCCTCCAGTCCGACCACCTGTTCACTCAGTGAGTAGCAGTTTTTCTTCAGTGTGGTCAGTTCCCCATCCAAACGGGCAATGTCCTGTTGATGGCGACAGGCGACGTGTCAGTTCCTCCTTCAGAAGTGCCATCTCTTCTTTCATCTGGATAAACTTCTCTTGGAGCTGTCCAGTCTCCATTTCTAAAACAGAAAACGTACGGTATGAGACTGAGAGAACGGTTTCACCTGAAACAGTCTAATGGTCGTAAGGACATGTGTCTATGGCTATTCTGTGAGTTTCTGATTTTTAACCCTCGCCCGTATAGGGGGGGGGGGGGGTCGAACGGATCCCCCCATGGTTTGTCGCGAATAACTCGCGTAAAAAGCGGCCGATCGCGACGAAACTTTCAGTACCCTCGCGTTATTCAATTTTACACCTACTCTGAAAATTTCATGACCCGGACCCCAATGACCTTTGAGCTGTGACCTACTTTTCGAGACTATGTTTGGCCGGAATCGCGATTCGGCGTATGTCGGCTCGCATTAGCCGCGCGTTTGCAGTCTTTTCGTGGTTTCAGGCGTTCAAACATGTGATATGATGTTGCCCCCATGCTTTAGGGTGGGTGTCAAGGTCACCCGAAGGTCAGGTCAGGTCATTGACCTTTGATGACCTCGGTTCAGTTTTTCGAGTTTTACATGTTTCTAGGCCAGTTTTTGCAGCAGAATTCGAATTTAGCAACCATTTGAACATTTACGAAGTAGTTTTGGTGCCTTCGTAACATGTTACGAAGCTGTCAGAGGCGGTTGACACCTACTAGGAATACCCGGCAGGACCCCTACTGCTTGACCTGACCTGACCTGACCCGACCTGGACTAAATGCATGAAGACATCATCTGTGATCAAAACTAACGTGATATTCGTGATCAACACCCCGGAAAACCCCGTAGCAGCCACATATTACGACGTTCTAACAGGTCCCGATTTTCTCGACTTTTAGGCTGGGGGGATCCAGAGCGTCGTAAGCCTCGTCGCAGCTGCGACGTGTCGCAAGTTGTGTAGTAAGTCGTTTTTGGAGGGATCAATTGATGAGTAGCGTTACTTAAGAAGTAAAGTCTATCGCAAAGTGCCTGATTTACGACACAACTTACGAATTTGAAATAGCAGTCGTAAGTTGTGTCGCAAGTTGATATGGCCTTGAGGGAGAGGTCACAGGTCACAGGTCATTGGGGTCATGGTCACGAAATTTGCATGGTACGTGGAAAATTGTTGAAACTTGAGATCCTGAAAATTTCGTTGCAATCCGTTGCCGCTAACGCGAGTTATAAAGCAAGAACCAACGGTTCGTCTATGAGGCCTCAATCCGCGCCAGCGAGAGTGTTGAACATGGTGCATAATATGTTATATTCACATTTATTGGGGTATTCAGGGTTATGAAGTAGCCTAATACCATTCCAGCAACTACTGGCGAATCCAGAAAGGCGGTCTTGGACGTTGCGAGGGGCATCCCCCAAAAGATTCTCCAAATTCTAAAAACGATGTGTCCCAGATGACCCCCATGACCTCGAATTGATCTCTGCGATGACCCCAAGTTGAACTCTGTGACCTGACGTGTCCCAGATGACCTCCAATTGAGCTTTGTGATGACCCCAAGTTGACCTCTGTAACCTGACGTGTCCCAGATGACCTCCGTGACCTCCAATAGAGCTCTGTGATGACCCCAAGTTGACCACTGTGACCTAACGTGTCCCTTGATGGCCCCAATGACCTCCAATAGAGCTCTGTGATGACCCCAAGTTGACCTCTGTTACCTGAAGTGTCCCAGATGACCTCCGTGACCTCCAATTGAGCTCTCTGATGACTCCAAGCTGACCTCTGTGACCTGATGAGTCCCAGATGACCTCCAATTGAGCTCTGTGATGACCCCAAGTTGACCTCTGTAGCCTGACGTGTCACAGATGACCTGTGTGATCTCCAATAGAGCTCTGTGGTGACCCCAAGTTGACCTCTGTGACCTGACGTGTCCCAGATGACCTCCAATTGAGCTCTGTGATGACCCCAAGTTGACCTCTGTAACCTGACGTGTCCCAGATGACCTCCGTGACCTCCAATTGAGCTCTGTGATGACCTCAAGTTGACCTCTGTGACCTGACGTGTCCCATATGACCTCTGTAACCTCTAAGTGACCCCTCTGACGACTCCAAGCTGACCTATCTGACCTGATGTGCCCCAGATAACCGCCATGACCTTCAATTGAGCTCTGTGATGACCCCAAGTTGACCTCTGTGACTTGACGTGTCCCAGATGACCTCCGTGACCTCCAATTGAGCTCTTTGATGACCTCAAGCTGACCTCTGTGACCTGGCGTGTCCCAGATGACCCCCAGTTGAGCTCTGTGATGACCCCGAGTTGACCTCTGTAACCTGACGTGCCCCCAAGTTGCCTTCTGTGACCTGACGTGTCTCAGATTACTTCCGTGGTCTCCAATTGAGCTCTGTGATGACCCCAAGTTGACCTCCGTGACCTGAAGTGTCCCAGATGACCTCTGAAACTTCCAATTGTGACCTCAATCTCCAACTCTACTAACTCTCTGTGACCTCATACTCTCTTAACTCATTTCTTCTAAAGCATCGCTTCTAGATGCCCTATAGCGCCACGAATCTCCTGTCATCGATCCCAAAATTCATCGCAACTCACGTGAGCGTTAGCAACCACAAGTCACCCAGTTGAGACAAAGCTTCAGAATCAGAGAACATGCTTGAACTGGCTGTCTCATAAGCTCGCAAACCAGAAGGGCGAATGTTCCTTTATGCTTGATAGAGTTTTCGACCTTACTGACGCTTACTACGGGATCAGCTGATCGTGTAGCCTTTTAAATTCTCGAGTAAAGCGGGTATTTAAACCTTGTCGCAGCTACGTTCTGTCGTATCCTCCGACAAACCCCTCTTTCCTCAACATCCCTCCTTTTTCGCTACGACACAACTTGCGACGGGACATGTGTCGTAACTTGCGACGTGTCGTAGATGGACTTGCGACGCCCTGGATCCCCCCGGCCTTAGGTCATTGACCTGACCTGCAAGGTCAACCAATGACCTAGGACCTTAAAATTCGGTATCATCGGCTTCCTCTCGTCACGGGCAACACGCTCGTTTTTTCCGCGAAGCTCTAGCTCGATCAGGGGCGAAACGGCAAGGGGGTCCAACGGACCCCCCCCTTTATGTTCGCGGCTGGAAAAACACCAATACGGGTGAGGGTTAACACACGCCGTTGTTGGTCGAAAATCTCGAAATCATGACGTCACTAAAGCCTCAATCCATAAACTTTCTTTGACAAATTTGTTTGAAGTTTCGTCTATCTGAACTTCAGTCAATTCTTTACATGTTAGCAAAATTTGCCGTGCCTGTTGTGTCCCGTTTTTTTTTTTAAGCTAAGGCGCGTAAAAAATGGGGGCGCTGCGCTAGCTCCCCCCACTACCCCGCAGGTTAACCCGCACTTCGCTGACGGCCCTGAATTTCCACGCCCTACTGGGGAGTGTTGAACACATATGCGTCGCCAGAGATTTTCGGTTGGGGGGGGGGGCATAATCAACTTTTGTGTTAAATCTTGCCTTTCCCCAGTCGTTACTCACTCGTTTTACATATCATTCGACGCGCAATGGCGCAAGGAATCCGATGGTGTCAAAGTTTTCCTTCTAGCTATGTCATTTCATTTTTTACAGAAAAATTCGAAATTTTGAAATTTATAGACAAAAACGACCGGTAAAATTACAGTGGCTGCGATTGCCGACGCACTACAGAGGGCCCCTGTCCAGCCTCGTCGCTCATGATCATTAGGTACCCAGAAAAAGGTGAAAAACGCTCCATTTAATTGCATCACCCTGCTAAAACCTCCATTCATGCATGCATGCAGAGGTTTTACGTGAAATGCATAGGGCTTATCCCAGCCGCCGATTGTAGCTAAGTTGGGCATTCGGCGGAGACCAAGGCTGGGGGATCCGCTCTCATTGTTGATGAGAGTGAATGTCGGAAGTGTGAATCGCAAATAATTCATTTTTGCTCCAGTGCACTGGAGCAAAAATGAGTGCTTAAGGGCCTTCCTCTCACTGCAGTGAGAGGAAGTGTTTTGTTCACTCGAGTGTGAACAAAAAGTTTCTCGTTTTTCGTGTGACAGGAAGCGCTGCAAACGCGAACAAAAAATGTTTAACGGAACCAAAAATTAAACACGGCATAGCGGCAAGGGATCCCTTAGGCTTGGGACTTCCAGGCCATTGCAGGCCATTGAGGGTCAGTGTGGATTCTTAAAAGCCTGCTTAGGATCCCGGAGATCGGCGTGGGTCACCCCAAATATTAACGCGCGTGTGGTGCTTAAGGGCCTTCCGAGCCCAAGGTGGGGCCCTCAGAAGCCAGTGTGGGCGGCGGGCGCTAAGAGACTAGGCCCAGTGTGAGCATGGAGCCCTCGGATAATGTATGCACCATCGGGGTCTGCGTCAAATCCCTAAGGATTTGCTTCTTATGTAGGGACATAAGAAACATTTGTTGCAGCCCTCAGAGGGGCACGTGAGTTGTGACCCCTCAGATGCCAGTTTGGGGTTAGCAAAGTCTATCGCCTCAAAAGCTCGAAATTTTCGAAGGCATCCTCAAAGATTCGTGTGGCTCTTCAGAGGTCTACGCATGTGTAAGATCCTCAAAGATCCCTGTATGGGCCCTCAGAGAACATGGACACCAGTGGGACTCTCAGAGGCCGGTTTGGGCACTCCGAATGCCTCTTAGAGCTCAGTGGAGCTCCTTAGGAGCCTGTGTGATAAGCAAGCTCATGAGCCCTACGGCACTTGAACGATGCTTGAGCCTGTCGCAGACAATTGACAAGAGTTGAGGAAGGCCGCGAAGATTTCGTGTCACGCTTTGAACGAAAATTATATGTCAGCAATCCAAAACTTATGAAAATCAGCTATAACATGTAACAAAGAACCAACTAGGAACATGGAATGAATCACAGCATTGACATTTCCGAGTCTGGAGTCGAAGTCTTGAAGATATTGGCGACTGCGACTCTGACTCTGGTTTGAACTGCACGATCCAACCGAGTCTGACCTCACAGGCATTCTCAGAAAGGTACCCCCATTTTTTCGACTCTAAAATCTCATCGGATCTGTATCGATATCAGGAGGTGCCCGGTCCGAGGTTGGAGGGGGGGGGGCAAGCTGCCCCGCTTGCCCCCCGTGGCGAAGCTAATGCACAGTTCACTCGAAGCTTCAAGCCTATTCACTTTTCGCCACCTGTCATGCACTGAGACGTAAGAGGGTCTCTCGCCGTATCACTTCCCCACGACTACCGCTCCCCTCCCCACACCAGCGGTCCCCCCCTCCACCCCCGCTAGTGACCCCCTGACCCCTGTCTACCGCCGACACCAAGCACCGGCCACCCGACCCCCGGTGTCATGTCTCCGTCGGCTGACGCGGTCGTGGATCGGCTCCGTGTCTGTGTGTTCAGGCGGCAGAAACACAGGTAGAGAGCAACACTGGAGCCAGAGAGAGAGAGAGAGAGGGAGAGGGGAGAGAGAGAGAGAGAGAAAGAGAGAGAGAGAGAGAGAGAGAGAGAGAGAGAGAGAGAGAGAGAGAGAGAGAGAGAGAGAGACACGGCCCGCCGTACCGGTCAAATCTCCGAGCCGTGGTCCAAATGGAAGGACTCGATTCCCAGTAATCACTCCGTTGGTGAGTCACGGCCTTCCTTCGCTGTGGATTACCCATCAGTGGTGCTCATCCCAAATCATTGGAAAGCCAATACCAAACCGGGATGGCAATGGCTTGGTTTCATTATACCACAAACGTTGGTATCCGATTGACATCTCTTAACCCGCGCCCTGCTGGGGGTCCTGGATTTCCACGCCCTGCTGGGGGGGGGGGGTGTTTGAACACCCCCCCCCTTGTAACTCGGCTCCTGGGCCACGTAGCGATACGCGGAAGGCGGCGTTCGAAAGAGCGCAAAAAATAATGACGAAATCACTTCGGTCAATTTTTTGGTCAGGTCAAAGGTCAGGTCACCAGAGGTCATTGAAGGCAAAATTTCGCCGATTTCCAGGTCCAATGTCGAAAATTTCCAAGAAGCCAACGCATAATTCGGGAACCAATAGAGCTACAGCGCCGCGGAAAAGCGCATTCGATAGCCCTATTAACGCCCTTTCTGAGTAATTCTCTCAGATTTGACCTAACGTCAACGGTTTTGCCTGCAGGGGGCAAAAACTGCAAAAATAACCGATTTTTTCGAAAACAGTTTTTCTGCAATAACTTTTGACCCAAGCCTTGTACGAGCTTACTTTTACCGGCATCGTGTTCCTCTCGTCAAGACGCATCGAATGAACTATAATTTGACCTTGAAAGGTCAACTTGAAAATTTGACCTCAGGTCAAGGTCATGACCTGACCGGAAAGGGTCATGTTGCATATCAGTCGATCCGTATCGTCGAGCTGAACACATCTAAGGCGTTTTCATTGCTCTAGCATGCCTCTATCAAAAGTTATTTGCGAAAAACTGTTAGATACCATTCGTGACCTAAGATGACCTCAGGGCATAAACAAGGGTCACGGACACCATTTTCAAGTTCAGTGTGTCTAAACCACTTGTAATTCGGTGTTTGGGAGTGTTTATAATGTCTTTCATCCAAAAGAGGCGCATTTCAATTTTCTCCCATTGACTTATAATGGGGAGGTCGCAAAATTGACCTGACCTTAGGTCATCGATATCAAAATTCTGAGATATACATTTTGTACATGCTATTGCTCTTAGCAATCGCTGAAAGTTTCAAAGCGATCGGTCACTCGGTGTAGCTATGACAGACATTGAAAGTTTTTATAAGGTGAGGTCACTTCAAGTGACCTGGTGACCTGACCTTGAATGACCTTGGTCATTCAAGGTCAGGTCAGGTCATTTTCACAACATGTGTAGAATTTATGTATGATAAGGTGTACCAAAAACGGCGGCGCTCCGCGCCGCCGTTTTGGAGATATTCGCGAAAAACCACAGGGGGGGGGGGTGTTCAAACACCCCCCCCCAGCAGGGCGCGGGTTAAAGTTATAATCCATCCGTTCCTGACATAAGGTCTGCTATTAGGTAACCAGGGGTCAGCAAGAGACATTATAGCTATTCAACGCTATTTTCTAACATCCCGACAAAAACTTCATCGATTCTATAGAACGTAATAATTAAAGGGACCCTCCCACCTTAACATTAGTTTTGAGTTGAGATAGCCAAATTGGTGGCCATGGCCTGAAAATACCGGTTTGGGCATTCACAACATCGAAAAATGCTTTAATTCGGAGATATGGAATTTCAAACTTGCAGTTTTCGGATTCTAAGGGGCTAATGCATTGGTATGCCCCCTTAGAATTTGTGACGTCAGCGGAGATCTAACGATTTTTAAATCTTTTACCTAAACGTTTGGCAGCACGCGGTGGTATATGCTGCTTTGCGCGCAACAAATGCCGCACTTTCAAATAAAGTCGCTAGGAACAGCGGAGATCCCAAAAAGTAAACAAAAGTAAAAGTCTAATATCTTGAAAACCGGTGAATATTTTTCGATGAAATTTGGTAGATATTCATTTTTGCTCTTTCTGAACCGAGCGACATCACTTTCATGCCAATTCATTAACTTTTTTGAAGGTGGGAGGGTCCCTTTAAGATAAAAGTCACATAGGAATAACACCCCGACAATAACTATAACGATTCTATAAAACGTAATAAGATAAAAGTCACATAGGAAATACGTCGTCAAATCTGACCTGACAGGTATATAGGGCCGTGACCAGACCAAACTCCTCAGACTGAGACAAGCTCCTCATCCTGGTAGCTGAGACGTTTCCATGGCAACCGCCAGCCAGTCGCGCCCAACGGCAGAAAGGGACTTCCCCTCTCCCACGCGCAGCGGGGCGAACTGGAACCGCGTCAGGGGGACTCCCCGTTCAGGAAAACTGAAGCCGAGTGTCCGTTGTTTTTTAGATAAGTACGCTCCTTACCATGTTTTTACATGTCCTGATTATTGAAAGAGTTGTAAACATCACGATAATCCATCCAGGCCCTGGTCTCAACTCTCAGGCCTCCCAATCAGCTTCACCTAGCCCGGCCAAAACTAGCCCTGCCTGACTAATCTTTACCTAACCCAACAACACTTCACTCTGCACCCATGGCCCTATGATACCCCTACAACTGCCTAACCCTGAATAACTACCACTGGCAGAAAGCTATCCTGCAGATTACGTCAGACTGATGGGGATGTGTCACGTGACCTACTCACCCCAGCTGATTACCTCAATGTTGGGCGCGCTGATAAACATCGTTATTTAGATTTAAGGCATGGAACAGAACAGAACCTATGCTTGTTTAACTGTTGGAGCTCAGCATTCGGCCCTGCCTTCAACACGGTACCGTGCCGCTGAGGACTAGCCCCTGGAAAATACCCACAGGTCACACAAAGACCACACTGTTTAGCCAGCTCCTCCCCCCCCTCTCATCCCCACAGAGATGTGTGACCGTCTGTGTCATCCCTTCCCTGACCCCTCGCTTTGACCTCACCTCGTCTCCTCTGTCCGTACTGCCGTCTTCGCCGTCCGTATTTCTCCGTCTCCACTTTCCGTACTCCCACCTGCTACGCCAGACTTCCAGCAGCCACTGGCAGTCCCAAGGCCGTCGCTCGACCGTCGGCCACCTCTGGTTCCGACAATCGCCGATAGGTGGCAGCAGGTCCTGTGCTCAGTCTGCCGTATGTGGTTCCGACTAGTGATGTCAAGTACTGAAAATCGTGATACCGATACCAAACCAGATACCAACAAAAACCATGAGAAAATACCGAAACCGAACCGACTTTGGAAAATGAGAAAAATACCAACTTTTTACCAAATTAGCTGCCTCTTTTACATTAGTCAGGATTCATAATACCAACAAAATAGGGGAGAGTGGGGAAAGATGCCCAGGGTTTTGCTATGTCATATATTATTTGAAAATGACGATGGGAAAGCAAAAACTTGGAGTTTCAACGGAAGCCGACATCATTTTTCTCCAAAAATATCACACTTTCGTGCCTGAAATATTATAACTTTTTTTTGCTATTAAAGGAAATAGTTCACTTTTTAACATGGGTTTTGAACTGGAATAGCAGTTACGTAGCCTGGGCTGAGACGAGCATAAATCAGGAGCTTTTACAGCCCAACGATCACCCTAGGCAAAGATATTCTATTTCTCGTCCCGAAAAAGGTGTCTTGCATTGAGGATGTGTGCCTTGCATATATTCGCATCCAGTATGAAAAGAGCATGGGTACCAAAAATTATTCAGAAACTAGAGAAATTATCTACGAGAACTCTAGAGAAATTCTCGTACTGATCAATAAGGACATTCAGCAGCAGCAGATCGCCCAAATGCCGGTGGCCGCGATAATTTATCTAGTTTCTGAAGAATTTTCGGGACCCATGCTCTTTTCATACTGGATCGCCTGTGCCTTACAGAAACTGAAAAGTTCTTCCTATATCAAAATATAGAAAAATAATCTTTTGTTATAAATAGGTTTTATTTTCTTTGCTGATCATGTTGAACATAAAAAATCATAAATCCATTGCAAAAAAATAATTTCGTGAAAGTGAACTATTTCCTTTAACCCGCGCCCAGATGGGGTCTGCCGAGCAACGCGGTCTGATGGGGGGGGGGCCATTTTGGCCCCCCCCTCAGATCTCGAGAACCACGCAACATAGCGACAAGCGGTAAACGGTGTTGGATAGCCCCAACGGGGAACTACCTTGTGACCCAATTTCATTGACCTCGGTCAAACCGATGACGTCACAGGTCAGGTCAAAGGTCGAATTTTCACCGTTTACAGGCATTTCAAGAAATGCGTTGTAAAATCGTGTAAAATGCATCTCATTGAAAATCATCGATGGGGAAATGTTCTTCAAACACATATTTTGCTATTTGAGGTCACTGATACCAGGTCAGGTCACAGAGGTCAGGTCACTGGGGGGTCACAATATGAAAGTGTCGTATGATACATGTTTTATGGTCCATTTTACATGACAAATGCGATTATGTGGGTCAGACAGACTTTAGGGCCAGCTTAGGTCACGTTTTGGTCAAGGTCAGGTCAAGGTCAGGTCAAGGTCAGGTCAAATTAGGTCAAATTTCAAAGTTGATATTTTTGCATAAAATGGGTATCGATTCGATGCAGCTCGTCACGGGGAGTTCAATGGTGGTCTCCGTTTTGCGCTACGAGGTCTAGAATTGCTAAAAATTGAGTTCAAAAATTTGACGTCATCAATTTTTAACAGTTTTTTTCGCTATAACTTGGCCAAAAAAAGAGGTATCGATCTAAAATTTGGTATGCATATCGAAGAGCGCAGGGACTATCACATATATTCCGTTTTTTCGAAATTCGAAAATTTTTTGGAAATTTTTTGAGTTTTTCTAAAAAAATCAATTTTTTTGATTTTTGGGGGTCAAAATCCAAAAATTTCGAAAATCCGAGATAGCAGTTTTGTAGCCCCGTCTTTTGTCTACACAACCACATAAATAACTTTAAAATTGCTTGTTAACTGTAGAATTGGTGAGCGTTTCAAGATGTCATGTTTTTTGCTCATTTTTACTCGAACATGACCTCAGTTTGACCTCAATAACTCCTGACCTGAGGTGACCTGTGACTTGAAATTTTGTGTGAAGGTGTCAAATTGATGTCCGGTAAGGTACCCAAAATTTGGCGGCGCTGCGCGCCGCCGTTTTCTCGCTATTTAAGAAAAACCACAGGGGGGGGGGCAAAATGGCCCCCCCCATCAGGGCGCGGGTTAAGCATTTTCCTGAAGAAGTGAAAGGGGGCATCTTACCCCACAGGGTGGGAAAGACGCCCCCTGACGTTGGGAAAGATGCCCCCTGCACTATAAGTGGCATAAATGGGCACGTGAATCGCCTGAACGAATCAGTAGTCCCTTCGAGCCTGCAGTAGACACCAAACGTCATCGTAAGGGCCCTCAAAAGTAGTCGTAAGGGGCTTCAGAGTTCATCATAGTCCAGCGCGGCCAAACAAGCCTCCGTGGTGGCGTTGGGAGACCAATGTGGGGCTCTTATAGGTCTTCATGATGCTTGAGGGCCCTCTAGCCCATCGTGGGGACCTCCGATGCCGACGCGGCCCGTGGGGCCAACGTGGGAGCCCTCAAAGGATGTCGTGAGGGGCCCTGGAGCCAATAATGGGGCCCAGAGAGGCCGTCGTGAGGGCTCTCAGAGTCAGATGCCGCCCAAAAAGTCGCTATGTGGGCCGAGAGACCGGCATGGGGAGCACCCGACCGTACTGGACTCTCAATAGTCTCAGATCGGCTTTTGTCTACATCACAAGTATGTAATAAATGATTTGACGGGCTGTTTGAAGGACAGCCTAATGATTTAGGGGGGCGTCTTTCCCCATCAGGACAGGGGGCATCTTACCCCAAGGTACCGAAGTAACATTAAATCAGTACAATTTGTTAGCCATAAAACTACACCCTGAAACAAACTGTTTGGGACACAGTACACGCATGCTAATGTATCACGACTATAGCAAGGGACGCAAAAATTATTTACCTTCTTTGATATTTACAATGTTTTGACACCAAAATACTTTTTGAAAGCAGCAAATAAAAAACATGCAATCATCAGCCAGCCGTTGCCCAACTGAGCTTCGCAAATTTTTGTGCAGTTAACAAGGCAGGCTTCCGCTTTACGCTAAGAACATTAATTTCCAGGTCCGATTCTTTGTTTCGCCGCTAGAGGGGGTGGGGCGTCTTTCCCACCCTGGGCATCTTACCCCACTCTCCCCTACCGAAAACCTTAGCATTGAAATACCAAATACCAAGTTGGTATCGGTTTGGTATCGGTATTCGGTATACCAAAAAGTTGGTATCCAATTGACATCTCTAGTTTCGACAACCGCCGATAGATGACAGCTGGTTTCCAGCAGTCTGTCAGTCCGTGGCAATGAATTTTACCTTTAACTTTTGATTTTTACCTTTTAAATTTCACCAGCCGTGTAATTCGCTCCCCAAAGTTCAAAGAATATTTAAAGGTACATACTACATCCACAATGCAGTGGCTCTTCCGCACCCGAGTCACCTTACGACTACGTCAGTGGAGGTAAACCCAGGGTATAGGGCAAAGCAACGGTGAGGCTAAGACAGATAAACACAAACACAGTACCATTCACTCCTTGCATTCACTTATCAGCCATCAGTCCCAGTACCACAACAGTACCACGTGTACAGCAGCAGCTGCCAGCTGCTTAAGATGGCGTTTGAAGGAACATCCGGTGAGGCATTTCCTAGCTCGCTCGGGAGCTGGTTAAACATTGCACTGCAGTGTGATAGCCGCCTGGTGCTGGAGAATGTCTGTCTGTTCTCTGGCAGTGGCAGTGCAGCTGGCCGATCTGGCGAGTAGGATTGTGGAGTACAGACATGCGAAAACATGGCTGCAATGTCGGCAGGTAATTCAGTATCTAGAGCGACTTTTTAATCAAGTCTATGGTAGCTCACGAGCAGCTTAGCGCGTAACCACCCGAGTTGATGAAACACGTCAGAAATGTGATCAAATTTGTGCCGGCCGCTCACAACACGAGCTCAGAAATTGAACAGTTTCTGAATGCGGTGCTTTTCTGTTTTAGCGCAGAACCCGTAGATGGAGATGCAGTGCAGCAGAAGCGAATTGAGCTAACCACAACCGCGTTCACAATGTAAGCAACGGTCCGGTAGGTATGACATACTTGGAATGGGACAGCGATAATAAAAGATCGGTACATTTGCCAACCAGCTGGCTAACATCATCCCCGAACGTCAGATGTCTGTCCATAGTGAGGCCGATGTTTTTAACTGTGCGGCTTTCAGAGATGACCGACTGTCCAAACTTAATCTGCACTGGCTGGATGTCCTGCAAAGCTATTTTGGTGCCATGAACGTTTTCGCTTGATTGATTTTCATGTCATAGTGTACTGAATATTTGTTACAGTGTATGATGAAGAGGTCGCAAAATTGACTTGACCATAGGTCACCGATATCGAAATTCCGAGATAAATATTTTATACATACATACTGTTACTCTTATCAATCGCTGAAAGTTTCAAGGCGATCGTTCAGTCGCTGTAGCTAGACGAGGATTGAAACTTTTTTCTGAGGTGAGGTCACTTGACCTGACCTGGTGACCTGACCTTGAGAGCCCTGGGTCTGATTTTTTTTTTACAAAATGTGCGGAAAAGATGCATGAATAGGTGTGCCAAAAACAGGGGCGCTCCGCGCCGCCGTTTTTGAGATATCTGCGAAAAACCGCAGGGGGTGTTCAAACACCCCCTGGCCAGGCGCGGGTTAAACAATGCAAAATTGCAATGGTCAATGATCGGACCACGAACGTTTTCAGGTAAAGGTATTGATTAGAACTGAGTGATAAACGTTACGTCAATATTCACCACTTTTTAGAGGTGAGTACCTAATTGAGAAAACAACCGAAAGGCCCTATTGGACACTCCCCTCTATGTGATAGGGCCACTGGGGGTATCCAGCCTTCTAAAAGTGATAATGGCCCGCACTGGCGGTATCCAGCCTTCAGCAAAATAATAATGGCCACTGGCGGTATGCAGCCTTCTAAAAGTGATAATGGCCACTTGGGGTATCCAGCCTTCAGCAAAATAATAGCGGCCACTGGCGGTATCCAGCCTTCAGTAAAATAATAGCGGCCACTGGCGGTATCCAGCCTTTTAACCCTCGCCCGCACATGCCATTTTCCCATCCTAGAACGCACATGGGGGGGTGGTTGCCACCCCCCCCCCGCGCCGTTTCGTTCCTGTTGGAGATAGAGCTTAGCGGTAAGGACCAAAAAGATTCTTTGGGAAGAGACGAATCCAATGATACCCAGTTTTACCTTCTCAGGTCAGTCATTGACCTTCCAGGTCAGGTCAAACTAAAAAATGTTGCTGTTTTAGGTCACCGTTGGATATCAAGCGCGCTGCTTGTCATATACCGATGACGATGCCGTTTTCTGGTGCCAAGCCAGCTAGAACCTCTTTGTCACACTACCCGACCAGGTTTTTGCTGCTGAGGTCATCTCAGGTCAAGTTAGGTCAAGGTCAATAATATGTGTTTGTATGTCTGTGTGTGTCTGTGTGTATACTGATGTGTGCACCGATTGTTTATGTGTCCATATTACATGAAATCATGATCTGAGAAGCTTTTACCAAAAATGTAGTCAAAAAATTTCAAAAAAAGTAAATTCAGCTTGCCTAAAACGCAATTATCTTAGATGACCTAGGTTGACCTTGACCCTGACCTTGACCTCTGTACATCGTCGAACAACATGTTTCATGATAGGTGGGAGGTAGGATTGGCATAAAAGGCCGAAATCAAGGTGTTCAAAGCTCACAAGGCCCATAGCCAACGCAAGATGTTGAGAATTGGCCATTTGGGTCATGACATGACCTGAAAAACAAGGTCATATCTCCGAAACCAAAAACCACAGAAACTTGAAATTTTCAGTGGACATCAAGAAAGGATACAGGAGCAGCTATACGAAAAATCAGTCTTCTAGCTCTAAAAATGTTGAGTGCAGAGCAGAAAGACTACCTGGGGGGGGGGGTGGCAACCACCCCCCCCCCATGTGCGGGCGAGGGTTAAAATAATAGTGTCCACTGGCGGTATCCAGCCTTCTAAAAGTGATAATGGCCACTGGCGACATCCAGCCTTCTAATAGTGATAGTAGCCACTAGCGATATCCAGCCTTCAGTAAAATAATCGTGGCAACTGGCGACATCCAGCCTTCTAAAATCATAGTGTCCACTGGCGGTATCCAGCCTTCTAAAAGAAATAACGACCACCGGCTGTATCGCACCGCTGGATACTAGACCGTGTCCTGTATCCACCAGTCGATGGTGTGGTGTCCCGGATCCGTACCCGTGCTGTGTCCATACAGCTGTAATATAACTGATACACACTGTACAGTCTACAGTTGACGGCAGAACGATGCACCGTTTCTCAGCGGTCAGTCAGCTGCCTGCAGTGGTAGGCTGTGCCGCATCTCACGGGCTGGGTGACACATCGATCACCATAGACACACTTGATGTGTGATAATCAGTACAGCCTTACGGCTCAGTCAACTGAAGTGCTGGGCCGGTGGTAAGGGTAAAAAGTATGATTCACCCGTCCCCTGAGGAATGCATGTCCTGGGAATTACCTGATTTTTCTTTTTACTGATAACCCTCTGGGTTTGGCTTATTTTCACGGATCACTTATATTAGGCAATCTGAAGTTGCACGCACTTTTTATGAAGCATCCGACATTAGAGCTCCACGCCACTTCAAGTAGGTGACTTCTTTTTATCACAACTTCGTATGACATTATGGAATGATATGTTCAAAGCATTGCATAATGGTCAGCAGCCTTGCAATCCCTTTGACTAGTTACCGTCACGAAATAACAACACTACATAGTTGTGCTTGGGAATCCAGTAACATTGTGTATTGAACGTCTGAACCACTGTGTATTTCAATCGCCATCAGCCCGTGATATCCCATGAGCGACACCGAACCGGACATATCCGGTCCAAACGAACCACAGCCGACCGGACCACCGACGGTCCGACACAGTGACGGGCGAGGTCCGATATCGCCCGGACCGGCCACCGCCACAGCTAGCTCCAACCACTCTCTGGTCTCCTCTGGTCTAAACTGAATCAGCAACACAACAGCACAGCGGTGTGAGCCAGCGTGACGTCACAGCACAACACACGTGACGTCACCACGGCGGTACCTCCGGCACGGTGACAACGGTTTACCTACGGCTGGACAGTGGCCCGGAGCGTGATAAATCTCGGATACTGAATATAACTACTGTCTATCAAACAGGGTTGTATACTAATCAAGTCGATTGAATTGATTGATTTGTTTCAACGCGTATTTTGAGTTGATTGGATTGAGTCGATTGACTTTTCGAGATGACTGGTTGACTGACTCGTTTGACTTTAGCGACTGGTTGACTGATTTGATTCCTGAAAATTAGAGTGACTCGTATGATTGAGTCGATTGAAAGGAGAGTTCAAATAACTTTTAGTTGACGAAAAATAATGACACCAATTGATGACATCAAAGATCACAAAACTACACTGAAAGCTGTTTGTCATCACAACTGCAATATGGGGTAGATGGCCAAATAAAGAACAGGGCCTAAACATGAACAGCCAACTTTGACTTTCAACTGCAATAACTGCACCAATCCTGGTGATAGAACCTGGCGATGCACCTACCTACCTTTCTGCACTCAGCAAGAAACGTTTTTTCTAATCCAGATGATAAAGTGCAAGGCCCTATATACTAATAAAGTGTGATTAATTAATAATTCACATCTCCACATCTCCTCAGAAACAACCCACTGAACTCTATAAATATCTGAAACCCCTACAAAAAAACCGAAACAAAAGCGCCGTTTTCGTCTCGCTATTTACGTTTACGTGCATAATTAATAGCTAATTTGCTGCATTGTTTAATTTGCAGCAGAACGTTTGTTGATCCTTTTCTCCTGAGAGCCTAAGCATAACATATTTAATATATTTCATTTTTCTTGAAATATTTTACCGAATATTATTAAGTGGTTTTATTTCAAATAAAATAATAACTAAAACGAAATTGGTGTTGTATAACCGATTTATTTTATGATGATCTACCATACTACATGATAATCAATAACGTCATCTTACCAAAAAATCAAAAGACGTAGAATAAGGATTTATACAAGCTTAGCATACTTATTGGCAAAACGTTTTCATGCAGTCGCACCGTGCCGTTTTCGGACGCCGGTGAAAACAGGGCGCCGGAGGGCATATTAGTCACGTGACATTTGGAAGTGCTCCCCCTTCGTGGGTCTTCTACATGCTAAACGTCACGTGTAAATTTCACCAACCTTGGTCAAATCGCCCAAGGCACCCTGTTTTCACCGTCGTCCCCGTTTTCGCGTTTTAATTTTCCTCGTTCCCACTTCCTTTGTCCTTAACTTATACTGTGGTTCCAGAGTTCCTGTCCTCTCCATTTCCTTTTAAATATATTTTTTAACCCTCATCCCTATCCCCCAGTTCTAACAGTTTCAAATTGTATTGCAATAAAATTCAAACACAAATGTTTTGAATTCTTCACATAGGTACCTAACATTGACATGCCACGTCCAGAGTCGTGGACCGCTAAATACTTCAAATCTCTTCCTTCCCAATCTGACAACATCCCACGTCTCAAATGCACATTGTGTTGAAAGATTTTTCAGGCTGCCCGTCAGTCTCTGTCTAACCAAAACCGTCACATACAGGTAAGATATTTATTTCTATTTCCCTATGGTTAATATGTTATTGATGCATATAATCCATTGAAATAGACATGGTGTAGGGTAAATGGCCAAATCACGAACACTGCCAAAATCCGAGCAGTCAACTTTCAACTGCAATATCTGATATTTAGTGTAAATAGAGTTGGAATATGGCCAAAATTAAATTGACAACTTTTAGGTGAAAGGTGGTGATTTGGGTTAAGGGGCAAGTCAACTACTGGGTTATTTTGCACCCATTAAATGAAACTTCTGCTCCAATTCTACCCATTAAACCTCAATATCATGATCCACCTGTCCATCACTAGGTATCCTTCCTTATTACATAGAAACTTTGAATGGCATGGCAATTTATAATTTTAAATGACAATATTTTTATGTTTCTTCTGTAGGTAGGTAGGTAGGTAGGTACACCAGACTGCTATGGACACTTTTCCAAGTTGGTGGGCAAAAAACCTAATGTATGTCTTGGTTTGAGTCGTTTGATTGAGTTGATTGATTCCTTTCATTGTCGCGTTTGAGTCGATTGAATCAATTCCCGAAAACTGCTCTGACTTGATTGATTTGATTGGTTTCCCAAATTTGTCGTGATTGAATTGATTGCTATTGACTGAGTCGTATACAACCCTGCTATCAAAGCAGTGTCAACAAACGTAGCAATCTGTGCTCAAATGATCAAGGATTTGGGTGGCCACTCAACCCAAACCAGCCTGGCGGCTGGCACGGCGGTACAGTATCCACGGACCTGGCCCGATGGTACAGGGCGACTCAAAGCAGTTCTGGATATGAAGGTCTAAACGTGCATTGTGTACAGAACAGCGCTGCCGACGGGACACGGTGCTGCCATCTGTTGTAGAGTTCCGACACTGCCGCCGGCACCGGAGCGTACGAGGCACCAGGAAGCTAGTCGTCTACGTGTAGGAACCCAAGTAGATTTTGCTGCCATTGGGAGGCTGAGTAAGCTTGTCCAATAAAGACTCTGAAAACAGAGCACGTCATATTACAGACTGTTTGCTAGTGATGTCACATGGGGCAACTCAGACTAATGACGTCACTCACTAATACAGAAACAAACATAATGGCAATGTGTGTAGTATCACTGACTAGTGACGTCATGAGGGCTGATACTGATACTGTGACGCCACTTACGGAGATACACGTAACCAAATGTGACGTCAGTACTGATGACGTCACGTGCGTCAGTGTGCGTGTCCGAGAGGCCGGTGGCGCCGTGTCGGCTGTTGTGGGTGGCCAGAGACGCCGTCACTTACTGGCGACCCAGAGGTTGATGGTACGGGACTGGCCACCGTCACATCCCAGGTCTGCCTCGTGCAGGGCGGTCAGGACGGCCTGGCAGTTTTCAGTTGAGGATCCAATGAACAGTGTCTTCAGTTTCCTGCAGGTCACTGCCATCCTGCAACATATTGTAACAAAACAGAACTCGGGTTAGTATACGGCACACAGTCACACAGTGGCACCAGCGGTTGACTCAACACGGAGACAACATGTATTTACAATGTCGTTCATAACAGAACATGTGTGCCTCCGGCCATCTCAAGTTGGCCCAGTCTGGTGCTGCAGTTTGCTACAAATGTTTCACACGATACAATGAGTTTTATGCCACCCCTGACCCCACATACATTATTTCTATATTCTATTAAAATAGTACCAGCCCAGTAACGTATCTGCCCGTCCGTCTGTCTGTCTGTTTGTGTTCATATACATTTAATTACTTGCATTAAAGTGTCTGTCGGTGGATGCCTATTCTTCTGTATTGAATTCATTTTCAACGTCCCTGTGCCCATCCTTCTATGTATACCTCCAACGGATACGGTCATCGCTGAGGTTATTGCGGTCTATCCAGATACACGTTATATCCGCCGTCGCCGTCCGGCCGACTGACCTGCTGACCGCTGCCACCTCTGACTGGGTCAGGGCAGGGATGTCCGTGAGGGGCCGGGTGTCGTAGTGCTCCAGTGTATCCAGCTGGGAGCAGCCGTGGAAGGCGACTAGCACAGTGTCGCAAATGAAGCCGGATCCACAAAGAGTGACGTTCTTCAAGGTGGTGAGGACAGTCAAGAGGCGTCCCGTCGCTTCCGGTGTCAGGGACCGTGAGTCTGTAAAACATGAATAAAGATACTTACGCCAACTGGAATGACAAAAGTCAACAATATTCATAGCGAAATACTGAATAGTAGGATGCCTTTTTTGGTAAGCAATTAGTGAACTCGCGCGTATTTGTGCCAAGTAGGATGCAACTGAAAAAAGCAGGCTAACCATTTCCTAACAGCTAAATGTTCTTTTTCTAGCATGAGAGGAAAACGAGAAGAACTTTGAAGCAAACACGAGAAAGGACAAAAGGTAAAGTAAAAATGGTGGCGTCTCCGACGGCCAATTCCTTTTTAGTTTTAAGAGAGACTGCGTTTTGCTAAATTAGGCCCGGTCAAAAATAATGCCACACGGAGCTATTGTGCGTGTAATGGCCAACACACCCCTTCACAAGCGATCGTCACGACATTCCGGCACATTATGATCCTGCTTCTCACACCGTATCTTCAACCCTGTGACTGTGTGGGTCGCCAGAGCAGTCAGCTGGTCCAGGAGTGTGTCCGTCGCTAGCTGTACACCAACATCCAGCCCAGAAGTCGGCCATCGGGGGTGATACACCGGCGTTTCAGTCATCCCGGATCCTGTGAAGAGTGATACAATTAGCCGTAAACCCGCGCCGTGACGGGAGGGGGAGGGGAGGAGGTTCTCATAAACCACGCGCATCTACAGGGTGGACCAAAAAGGATGGAAACATTTTGAACTCGCATAAAACATGCATTATTGCATGCATGTGACTGGAAATGGTACCAAACGAGAGTACATTTCGTGGAAATTCATAACGGCATCACTCTCATCTGCTTTCTCTCGTTTTCAGTCTCTCACAGCAAATGTTCGAAGAGACCGCCTTCGCGAGACAGGCACAGAGCGGCCGGTCTGGTGGCTAACGCGATAGCCCGACGACACGTGTTCACTGGTATGGCTCACACAGTCTTGGTGATCGCTCTCTTCAGGTCACAGAGACCTTCCTTGTAGACCTGGCCCTTGAGATGAGATGATAAAGAAGTCACTGCACAGCAGCAAGGTCACCGAAATGGTGTGCCCTCAGCGGAAAAGGAATCGTGGGTCCACTTTGGTTCGAGGAAGGGAGCGGCGACACTGTGACCGTCAATCAACAGCGCGTACCAGGCGGCGCTGAGGAAGTTCTGAGAGCGAGTCCAAACGAAGCATGCGCAGCCTCATCATAGACCTTATGTGGTTCCAGCAAGACGGTGCGCCTCCTCACCGGGCTTACATCGCAAAAACAACGCTCAAGTGCATCGAAAACCACTTCGGTGACCGGCTGATATCCCGTGGTGCCAGTCGGAACTGGCCTACCTGCTCATCCGACCTGACACCAAGGTATGTTTTACTGTGGGGTCATCTCAAGGGCCAGGTCTACAAGGAAGGTTCAGAAAGCCTCTGAACTGAAGAGAGCGATCAGCAAGGCTGTGTGAGCCACACAAGCGGGCTATCGTGTCAGCAGCCAGGCTGGTCGCGCTGTGCCTGTCTCGCGAAGGTGGTCACTTCGAACATTTGCTGTGAGAGACTGAAAACGAGAGAAAGCATATGAGAGTGATGCGATTATGAATTATGCGATGCGATTATGAATTTCCACGAAATGTACTCTTGTTTGGTATCATTCCCAGTCACATGCATGCAATGATACATGTGTTGTAGATAATCTGTCTAATGAAGGACTTTAATGAGGATTAGCCCGCGGATAAACACGAGCACCTGTAAAAACGAACAAACAGCTGCTGTGACAGCTAGTGAAAAACGATGATTTTGAAATAGAAAGTGAAACATGTGTGAATGATAATTTCTAACAAATTTACCGACAGTACGAAGCAATACCGAACCCATAACAGTGGTGGCAGCGGTGTTAAAAATGTCGGACCATTTGGTTCTGGAGAAGTTTGAGAACGGCAGTGCACAAGATTGGATATCATGGCTGGAGGACTACTGTTTGTTTGGTCAGATGAAGAAGTGGAATACCGACAAACTTGTGACAAACTTGCGTTTCTTTGTTTCTGGTAATGTAAAGGAATGTGTCCGACACGTGTGTGCAGCGTGCCCGGCAGCCACACTCGACTCGATCTCCGCCGAAGTGGTGAAGCTACTGGGAGGGATACCAGATCCCATGGTGGCCATCCACCGCCTAGATTCGGTGGCTTATGAAGGAAATGTGATGAAAACCCTGCTCGCTATTGAGGATCTAGTACAGTACGCCTACCCCGCCGTTTCAGACAAGGCTACTAAGGATCAGCTGACTTGGATCCATCTCCAGAAAGTGCTACCCTCGGAGTATCAGCGAGATCTTACGAAGGCCAGAATCACAACGTTAGACGCCGTTGTGGAGCACGTCCGAGCATTCGAGCGGGCTGATGCGTCTGTCCCGTCTCACCCGGCTGGATTGTATCGTGCTCAGACCAGCCCAGCTGTCGAACAGGCCGACCCGCAAGAACGGAGGAGCTCATCGGTCGTCTGCTACACGTGCGGCCTATCGGGTCATATCCGCGCTCTCTGTCCTTTCCGCCACGATATCTGCGGCAACTGCGAACGCAGGGGTCACCTGAGTACGGTCTGTCGAGGGAGACCGACGCGAGCGCGGGGCAATAACCAACCCCGTGGAAGAAGCTTGGGAAACGCCCGGCAGTCTGTCCCAGGGAGCCAAGGGCAGACTGGCCGCGTCACCAGGACAGTGGCTCCTCTCATGTGGACAGCCGAGAACCAGGCACCAGTGCAGTCATTACCACCGCCGCTGCCGGTTCCGAACGACTACCGCACGGGCGCGGCGGTGCTGCAAGCGTGGACCGACAGGGGACGACCTGTCCCATCGCCGCGGCTGGAGGAATCTCTACCGCAACAGAGGCCAAATCAGCAGCTGGTAGAGCAGCAGCAGCAGACGCAGCAGCTCCGGGAGTGACGAGCACAGCAGTGACGGCCGACGCGACGCCGGTGGTGAGGAGACACACGCCAGGTCGGTACGTCCAGTTGTTTATAAATGGCAAGAGTGTTAATTCTCTGTGCGACACTGGGGCCGACCACACGGTGGTTCGGCGTGACATTTTGAGTGACGTCACACCCATCCGGCCGGTATCCCACCCGGTGAAATTAGCGAACAACGAACAATATTCCGGGATAATGGGATGTGCGTATGTAGATCTGCAGCTGGGACCCTTTCGACAACTTACCTGCGTCTACGTGGCCGCCACCTTGTGTGAGCTATGCTTGTTGGGGGCAGATGTGCTTACGGCCTCGAAAGCAGTGATGGACATATCCAACGGGGAAATGTGGGTATTAGGGCAGGAGCTACCAATGCATGCGACTGGCGCAGCACAGGGTGATCCGGTGCAAAAAGTGGGGCACCGCACGGGAGCCGTGCTGATCGCCCGCACAATCGCTGTGCCAGCCAACAGTGAAATCATTTTGCCCGCTACCGTGTCTCTAGCTGAATGTAGCCGAGCTAAGGAGCTGGCCCACTCACTCTGCTGTAAGGGGATGCCTGATGGTGACCTGGGACTGACAGGTCTGGTGGAAGGTGACGGGGAGTTCATTAACAAAACGGAGCTGTGTGTAGCCCGTTTGGCGGTAACTGTGCACGATAATACCGTACCAGTCAGACTCGGCAACCTTTCAGACAATCCCATCACCCTCTACGAAGGTACCAAGATCGCCAATTTCGAATGCTTAGATGAGTTCTCGTTCAGTGAGGTGCCTGAAACTGAAACAGAATTCTGTCCCGATCAGGCTGTGGCACACCTGGAGGAGCCGACACGTTCCGAGTTTTTGGCCCTGCTCCATAAATACAGGCAGGTATTTGCAGGACTGGGCCGCACTGATGTCGCGGAGCACAAAATACCCACTGGAACCCACCCGCCCGTGTTTCAGGGCCCACGTCCCATACCAGCCCACCTCTCAGGGGAAGTCAAATCACAAATAGATGACATGGTGGAACAGGGAGTGCTGGAGCCCGTCCCGGACTCCGAATGGGCGTTTCCCTTGGTGCTGGTGAAACGGGCCAACGGCGGTCCGGTCCGAATATGTGGAGATTTCCGTCGTCTCAATCGCATCACCACCTCCTCCGTCCAGGTCATACCCAGGATAGACACATGCCTACAGAAGTTAAGCGGAGCCGTCTATTTCACATCGGTAGATCTCAAAAGCGCGTACCATCAGCTCCCAGTAGCAGAAGAAGATAGAGCCAAAACAACTATCGCAACGGAGTTTGGCCTATTCCGTTACACTACTGCTCCGTACGGGATACAGGGTATCCCACACTCATTCAATCGTGCTCTTCGGCTAGTCCTCGCCGACGTTCCCCCAGAGACAGTCATCCAATACTTTGATGACGTAATGGTGATTTCCAAAACTCTGGACGAGATGCGCACCAATTTGGATGCAGTTTTAGCTGCGCTGCAAAAGTCGGGCTTAACTGTCTCGTTGAAGAAGCTGCAGCTCTGCAAAAGGGAGGTAAGCTTCCTCGGCTTCACCGTCAGTGCGGCAGGCGTGCAGTGTGACCCGGAAAAGATCACAACCATCCAGAACTGGCCTGTCCCGGTTAATGCCAAGCAGGTTCGCGTGTTCTTAGGTCTAGCAGGCTACCTGCGCCGCCATATTCGAGGCTATGCAGTTTTAGCCAAACCCCTAACAAAGCTGACCGAGAAGCATCGCCTTTTCCACTGGGGACCGGAGGAACAGAGTGCTTTTGATCGTCTGAAAGCAGCACTGGCCTCACCGCCAGTGTTAGCACTGCCGGTATTTAGCGAGGAGGCACCTCAGTTCGTGCTCGATGTAGATGCGAGCGGAGCGGCCGTGGGAGGCTGTCTCATGCAGGGTGACAAGGTAGTCGGGTATGCCAGCAGGGTTCTTACCAAAGCTGAGCGTCAGTACAGCGTCACCAAGCGCGAGCTTCTGGCAGTGGTCTGGGGTACTACGCACTTCAGACAATATCTGGTCGGACGACGCTTCCTCCTGCGTTCTGATCATTCGGCTTTACAGTGGCTCTTTAATATGAAAGACCCGACAGGGCAGCTGGCTCGCTGGCTGCTTCAGCTATCCGAGCTAGAGTTTGATATCGTGCACCGGCGTGGTAGTCTCCATAGCAACGCAGACGCACTATCTCGATATCCGCATGCAGTGACCGCTCAGGAGCAGCGGTACCGGTGGGTCTGTGTTCCGATTCCTGAGGCCCCAGAGGCAGAGCTTCCTATGGCGCCCTCTCCTAGAATGGATACTGAGCAGGCGAGTCCAGAACCAAGCGCAGTGTCCAACATGGCACAGACGAGTTCCGCTCTGTCACTGCCCGCCAGCAGAACCCACTCGGCAGATGCAGACCAGCATCCTCAGTCTCCAACTGCATCAGGACAAGTCAGGGCGGCTGATCCACTCAACTTCAGGGCGGCGTCAGAATCACAGACAGACTCCGCCACTGATCAGATTACCAAAGAGACGCACGTCGATAGCGTCGAGTCCACTGGTACGTCTGCATCTGGCCAGCCCGATAGAGCTGCAGCAGCTGCAGTCGTAACTGGGCCAAAGTCATTGATAAGTATCAATCCCATCGAGCTGAGAGATTTTCAGAAAGAGCAGTTCAATGATGCTGGAATCAGAGAGATCGTTCATTGGATACAGCTGCGTCGAAAACCCCACCCAAGCGAGGTGAACACAGAGCACGCCGCTCAGCTGCTACGAGAGTGGAACCGATTAGTAGTCACAGGCGATACGCCCGTGTTGTACAGGCGAGTCCAGCCCTACAAAGGAGCCCCATCATGTCTCCAGATAGTGGTGCCCCAACATTTGAGAAGGAGCCTGATGGATGACCATCACAGTGGACTAGGAGGGGGACACCAGGGGGCGGCAAAATTGGAGAGTGCACTTCGCCGGCAGTTCTACTGGCCGAGAATGCAGACCGATGTGAAAGCGTTCTGCCAACAGTGCGAGGTCTGTGCTCGCCGCAAAGATCCTCCTCACCCACCGAAGGCCCCATTGGGGTCACTGCAGGCGTCTGAGTTCCTTGACAGGCTTGACATCGATATCATATCTGGGCTCCCCACCAGTGAGCCGGAAGGTTACAGGTATATTCTGACGTGCATCGATGCATTCACTCGATTTGTATGGGCTTTCCCACTTAAAACACAGGAAGCATCCGAGATAGTCCAGACACTGATGGACCGTATCGTAGGTCAGTTTGGGGTGCCTAAATCAATTCACTCCGATCAGGGCAGAAACCTGGTTGGAAACGTAGCAAAGATGTTCTACAACAATCTTGGAATCAAACAGAGCACGACGACAGCCTATCATCCTCAAGGGAACGCTTACTGTGAGCGTAGCCACCGTTTCCTCATCGACACACTGGCTAAACTCGCCGCCGCAGAGCACCGTCATTGGTCCCGTTACCTGAGCGGCGCAGTGCTGGCTTTTAACGCCAACACTAGTGCGGCCACAGGCCTGTCGCCATATGAGTGCGTGTTTGGGCGTCCTGCACCACTACCGGCTTCACTGAAGTACAGCTCTGTCTCCAACGGTCAAAGCGAGCTGGTGGACATGAAGGTGCCCCGTGACACCTTCCAGTACCTGGCTGGTTTACAGCGCACCCTCAAACGCACCGATCAGCAGATACACTCTGCTAGTACAGCGGATCATAACAAGAGCAAAATCAGGCATGATGCGCGCATAGTGGAACATAACTATGAGCCGGGCAGCCGCGTCTGGCTCAGACAAAATGCGGTACAGGGTGGAGACGTGAGAAAGTTGTCCCCTCGCTGGAAGGGACCCTACCGCGTGATAGCGAAACGTCGAAACTGGACATATCTCATAGCCTGTGAAGGAGAGACGACGGAAATGACGGTCCACCACAACCGCTTAAAACCGTATCACCCAAGCACGGGAAACTCACCCACTGGGGCCCCTGTTTACCCCACTCGCATTTGGCGACGCAGTCAACGCTCATCGCCTCATCAGTTCGGCCCAGTCCCACAGAACCGAGACCGAGCATTAGCACCCAGGAGGCATGATCCCCAGTCAGCTGACAAACAAGTAAGGCCACATGGCGACAAAGCGCCGCGGCAAGACAAGTCCTCTGTGCAGCAGGACCTGGTCACTCAGGCGACTCCAAATGTGCCAAAGTCGATAATCACGAGAGCGGGTCGAACTGTCAGACACCCCATTAGGTATCACTAGTCAGCTCATATGAGCTGATTCGGCTTGAAGTGGATAAGGTGAAACGGAATATCCATCCTGTTTTAAGTGGTGATGTATGACAGAAGTGGCATGTACATTTTGTGTTCCTAGGTAATGCCTGTGGTTTGAAGTGTTCATTGCTCATGTATGAATGTACATATGTGTAAAGTGTTAAAGTGTACCGTCTTACCTGGTGCATCAATGTCCGCGGGCCATGCAGAGGTTGATCAGTTTCCGGGGCGGAAACTTTGTCTGTGGGGGATATTGTTGTAGATAATCTGTCTAATGAAGGACTTTAATGAGGATTAGCCCGCGGATAAACACGAGCACCTGTAAAAACGAACAAACAGCTGCTGTGACAGCTAGTGAAAAACGATGATTTTGAAATAGAAAGTGAAACATGTGTGAATGATAATTTCTAACAAATTTACCGTCAGTAGAAGCAATACCGAACCCATAACACATGTTTTATACGAGTTTAAAATGTTTCCATCCTTTTTGGTCCACCCTGTATTTTTTATATTTGCAGAAAAGTTAGAGGATGTTTAACCCGCGCCCTGCTGGGGGGTTGTTTGAACACCCCCCTTGTGGTTTTTCACAAATATCTCAAAAACGGCGGCGCGGAGCGCCGCCGTTTTTGGTACACCTTATCATACATCAATTCTACACATGTTGTGAAAATTTCAGACCAAGTTCATTCAAGGTCAGGTCACCAGGTCACTTGAAGTGATCTCACCTCATAAAAAGTTTCAATGTTTGTCATAGCTACACCGAGTGACCGATCGCTTTGAAACTTTCAGCGATTGCTAAGAGCAATAGCATGTACAACATGTATATCTCAGAATTTTGATATCGATGACCTAAGGTCAAGTCAATTTTGCGACCTCCCCATTATAAGTCAATGGGAGAAATTGAAATGCGCCTCTTTTGGACGAAAGACATTATAGACACTCCCAAACACTGAATTACAAGTGGTTTAGACACACTGAACATGAAAGGTGTCCGTGACCCCTGTTTATGCCCTGAGGTCATCTTAGGTCACGAATGGTATCCAACAGTTTTTGGCAAATAACTTTTGATAGAGGCATGCTAGAGCGATGAAAACGCCTTAGATGTGTTCAGCTCGACGATACGAATCGACTGATAAGCAACATGACCCTTTCCGGTCAGGTCATGACCTTGACCTGAGGTCAAATTTTCAAGTTGACCTTTCAAGGTCAAGTTATAGTTCATTCGATGCGTCTTGACGAGAGGAACACGATGTCGGTAAAAGTAAGCTCGTACAAGGCTTGAGTCAAAAGTTATTGCAGAAAAACTGTTTCCGAAAAAAATCGGCTATTTTTGCAGTTTTTGCCCCCTGCAGGCAAAACCGTTGACATTAGGTCAAATCTGAGGTAATTAATCAGAAAGGGCGTTAATAGGGCTATCGAATGCGCTTTTCCGCGGCGCTGTAGCTCTATTGGTTCCCGAGTTATGCGTTGGCTTCTTGGAAATTGTAGACATTCGACCTGGAAATCGGCGAAATTTTGCCTTTAATGACCTCTGGTGACCTGACCTTTGACCTGACCAAAAAATTGACCGAAGTGATTTCGTCATGATTTTTGACGCTCTTTCGAACGCCGCCTTCCGCGTATCGCTACGTGGCCCAGGAGCCGAGTTAGAAGGGGGGGGGGTGCTCAAACACCCCCCCCCCCAGCAGGGCGTGGAAATCCAGGACCCCCAGCCGGGCGCGGGTTAACCGCCATTTCTCTATAGAAAGCCATTTTGACACTCTCAAAACGTAGTTTTATGGGTTCCTATTGAAAACTGAACTGGAAAATTCAAAATGACACAAGTGATCCTAAATTTTCCTTATGAGGTCGTATAAGATCGACAAAGGACCAAGGTCATTAGCAGTTTTTCGACGAAAACTATTGAATTTTGATAGATGAGCAAACAATGGATATGAATGGATCTATGCTAGCTCCTTGAACCTAGAAAATGTTGCGCTCAACAATACGGAATCATAAGTATGTAAGTTGACCGCCAGCTATGAACCCGATCTCGGACCAATTCGCAAAACTGATATTTTACTGATCAAACTATCGTTCATCATTCGACGCGTCTCGACAAAGCAAGGATCAGATGCTGGTAAAAGCACTGCCGTTATGTGACAGTGATGCAGTTCATAATTGATGTTGATGTTGTCAGTGATCATTTGATCATGTGTGAATAGCAAAAAAAAAAAAATTGATAATGTGCTAACTGACAATCAAGGCGCAATTCTTTCAATCAAAAGCGCCGGCGGAACTTCTGTATAAGCAATCACCGCGAGACTCACAAGTTGAAAATTTCTGAGCCGGCGATTGCAAGAAGATTCACGAATCACGAGTCCACAACTTTTGACGCAATGATCCCAGGGAGCCTAACAACGTGATTTGTTCGGGTGAATATGGCTGACCTTTAGTACGGACCAGCGCGGCGATTTCTTATCTGAGCTAGCGTGACGTACGCTAGTAACTAACGCGTTCCAACATCGCCCCATAACCCTTCTTACCAGTGATGTCCAGTCTCTTCAGTGACTTGGGTAGCAGCCGAAGCCACTTGCCGGAGCTGTCCACAGGTGGGCTCACATCGAGCCGTTCCAGAGCCTTCAGCGGCTCCAGCAGCGCCTCCAGCTGCCAGTCGCTGATGCCGGCCGGCAGCGTCAGCTCACGCAGACTGGAGGCGTTGGCACGCGCCAGGCGACGCAGGGCAGAGGCCCGCAGCTTGAAGCCGCGCAGGTTGACCTTCTCCAGGGCGTGGCAGGTGGCCGCTGGAATAAAGCAACACCAGCCAGTGAAGAAGTGATCGCTCATATGGACAAGGAATGACAGTTACAGCGGAACAAAGCGTACCAGTTCGTGTGTAGCGCGTTTCACACAGGACTCACCGACCAGTCGGAGGTCGGTGTCCGTCTCAGCGGTCGGCGCCCGCAGTTCAGTCAGCTTCGGCTGGTCCTGTGTCTTCACTACGAGCTCAAGGCCCGTAACCGGCACAGGGACCTCTCCACCACGGGTTTTCTGATCGGTTAGCTCCCGCCGACAGTCGCTGACGATATCGTCGATGGCGGACCGCCACCGACGGCAGACTGTCGGCATAAAAAAAACAAGGAACGGGTGGCATCGAGCACCTTGACAGAAACGTCAATGCTTATATAGACAGCGTTTGTGTCTTATATTGTAAGACGTAGCTATTCTATGAGAATGGTATTCCGAGCAGCCATCCATCTACGTGTGAGTCATCTAACCCCGTTCAATATACCCCGTGATAGACTATTCATTGCCAAACTCTCCGAATCCTAGGTAAAAATACTCCACTAAGCACCTGCATATCACAATGAAGCATGATCTACTACCTTCCTTTCTACCGTCCTGCATACAATGTCAGTCGCCAGAACACTCACCCCGCCTGGCGCGGATCATTTCCCAGCAGTCCATCTTGCTCAACACCATCTTCAACAACTCGTGGTCCAGGAGACAAATGGCAGAAGCCCATCGCGGTGCAGCCTCTGGCACGTCGCCGCCCGCCGTCCCCACCTCCTCCGTAGGAGGAGGCGGGGACGGAGGAGCTGGGGTGATTATGAAGCCATAGGTGCTGATGGCGTCACACTTGTCACAAGTGTCGGCCTTCAGTGAAGTCCCCTCCTCACCGTCACTGTAGCGAGAAGACGTAAATGTGAACTGGTGTGACGTCATCAGGGGTCAGTGATTAGGCGATCCCAAGGCTATATAAACCAGCGATCCCATCCAGTGTTCTTTACCCCCACCCCACCCCTGCTGCCTCCAAGTCTCACCCCTGCAGACGGCCGGATGGCACCGCTCGCCGGCGGACCCCCTGCCGCAGCTCCTCCACGACGGTCTGACGAGTGGAGCGCTCCTCGACCATTGCCTGCTGCAGGAGGACCACCTGACTGTGTAGTGTGGTGTTCTCTTCCTTGAGCTTGGTCATATCCTGCTTTAGGACATCCATTTCTCCTTTTAGTCCGGCCATTTCTCCTTTCAGTCCCGTCATTATTTCTTCACACAGGGAGTTTATTTCATCGAGAGTCAGTTCCATCTGGAAGGCAGTTGTTCTAGTTATCACCAGCAAGTTAACACGCAAACCGTTGGGGGGGGGGGGGGGTTCGCTGATAACCCAAAAACGGCTGCCGAATTTCGACTCGCCGTTCACGGAACCTCTCCGAAAATCAATTTAACGTGACTTAAAAAATCAATGTGAGGTCATCTCAGGTCATGAGTTGTAGAGGCCAAACTGATGTCATGTTCGGTCATTTTTGGTCGAAACAATTGTTAACCCGCGCTCCACTGGGGTCTGTGTATAACGCGCCCTACTGGGGCCGGGGGGGGGCTATTCATAGCCCCCTCATAACTCCAAAACTACTGGGTCGATCGTTGTAGTGTCGAGTCCTCCCGTGTGCTTCCGTCCAGTTCCACGTCCTTCAAACTCACTGTTTAGCCACCACCATGATATTAAAATAAGAACAAACGGTGATAACGTTCCATAACAGAATCCAGCCCAGTGAGCTGGCTCGGCGTCTACCAGCCTCGGCAGCCGCTCCTCTGCTCTCGTGGCCGGTGTCAGACTGACCGCCGCCGGCGCCGCACGACCCGTCAACGGTCAGCGCCGCCCAGTCACGCGAGCGGGGCTGCGTCATAACGCACAGTACGTCGTGAGCCGTCAGGCTTAGACCGAACTACGACGCTAGCGCGTCACACAATACTACGCACAACACTACATTTGCCCCTCACAATAATAACGACGACCTGATCGCGTAAAGCGTGACACTCCGTCGCCCCCGACGGTTGGCGACTGCCGTTGCACTGCAGTGGACGCTGGAGGTGATAACGGCGACGCACGCTCTAGGGGTTCATCTGACGGGTCCACTTCCTCACTCGAGTCAGAATCAGTCCCATGACACGAAATACAGTCACCTCGACTCAGAGATGGTGCCCTCGACGACACTCGACGGCGGACGTCGCGATCCGCCGGACACAGCGTCTCAGTGCCCCCGCCGATCCCGCGAGGCGCACCGCCCACCTCCGGCTCTGACGGCTCCATCGACGGTGTCCACCTGGAGAGCCGCTCAGCGTGGATTCTGGTGCCGTCGTCCAGGCGATACGACGCCGGGCCCGTCTGTTGCACGATCTGTCGGCGACCTGAGAAACGAACATGCCCCTTTCGGGGCCGGGGCATCAGCTTATACCGCACCCAGTCTCCTACAGCGAAATCAGGAACACGAGCCCGGTTACGTGCATCCCACAACTTCTTCTGCACCAGTTGCTTATCAGCCACACGATCCCTCACAGCCTGGTCGTCAGACGAGCGACCGCTCTGCACGCCAGATCGGACATCAGCAGCCACCTCCAGCTTTGTTCGTAGCTGCCGACCGTGTAGCAGCTCCGATGGGCTCTTACCGGTAGTAGCATGAGGTGTTGCCCTGTAGTTCTGCAGAAACGTCTGCATGTACCTTCGTCGGTCGACGCCCTCCAAGTCCGCCATCTGCAGGGCCGCCTTGATGCTCCGGTTCATCCGCTCCACCGCTCCTGACCCTGCTGGATGGTAAGGAGACACGCGAATGTGATCAATGCCCATACTCTGGAGGTAAGTCGTGAACTTGTCTGACGTAAAATGCGTTCCGTTATCTGTGACAACTTCTTTAGGAAGTCCCTCTCGGGAGGCCACTACATCCATGAACTCGATCACTGCGTCACTTGATGGCTCCCTTGTGAATGCCATTTCGACCCACTTCGAATAGTAATCAACCATCACGATGGCATACCTTTGATGCAGCGGTCCTTGCATCGGGCCGATGAAGTCGATGCCCAGCTTGTCCCAGGCAACATCCGGGAACGGGACTGGCATCAGCGGTGCTCTGCGTGACTTCACCGTTTTGTCAGACAGGGCGCATGCATCACACTCCTTCACGGCCGTCTCTACAGCAGCATCAAGACCTGGCCACCAGTACACTGCCCGCAGGCGCTGCTTGGTACGTATGATCCCCGGGTGGCTCTCATGTGCCAGGGCCACCAATCTCTCCCTCAGACACTCTGGTACTACCACCCGCTCTCCCTTGAAAATGAGGCCACCCATCAGACTTAACTCATCACGACATCGGAAGAATGGCTTCAATTCAGGTGGGACCTCACCTATGCGACTTGACCAACGTCGGGTGAGCTGCTCAGACAGCTTGACCAGCACCGGGTCGGACGCGACAGCATCGGCCAGTTCTCCGCTGCTCACCGCCGTCAGTCGTGAAGACAGCGAGGCAACAAGCTGAGACTCGTCGTCTTCCACTTCCACCGCTGGACCTGGTGCACGGGAGAGTCCATCAGCCGGGTTGAGCACCCCCTTCAGATGCTGGACTGAAAAAGAGTAAGTCATCAGCCGGCTAGCCCATCTTGACATACGCATCCCAGCACGCCCGATCCCATTCGCTGTGATCAAGGTGCGCAGCGCAGCATGGTCTGTTCTCAGGATAAAGTCTCGCCCCCAGAGGTACTTATGCCACTTTTCACATGCCCAGACACAGGCAAGTGCTTCCCTCTCCGAAACGCTGTAGCGCCTCTGCGTTTGACTCAAAGTGCTTGATGCGAAACAGACTACTCGCTCACCTTCTGGGTGCATCTGAGACAAGACAGCACCGAGTCCCACGTCGCTGGCGTCGGTTGTGACGATCGTCTGAAGTGCCGGGTCGAACATCGCCAGCGCGTTCGACTGCAGGATGGCCTCAGTGACGTCCTTCAGCGCTGCCGACATCTCCGGCGTCCAGGCAAACTCCGGCGCGTCTTTGCGGAGCTGCCGTCTCAGAGGTTCAACCCGGGTGCTGTAGTTCTTGACGAACTTCGCGTAGAACCCTAGGGTTCCCAGGACTGACTGAAGCTTCTTCTTATCAGTCGGCTGCTGTAGGTCTCGAAGGCCCTGAACGCGCTCTTCAGAGACTGCCACCCCCTTCGGAGAAACTGCGAATCCAAGAAACTCAACCGATGAGACGCAAATCCTGCACTTGTCCCAGTTCAAGGTGATGTTTCTGGCCTGCATCCGCTCGATCACCCTCCTGAGGCGCTGGTCGTGCTCCTCCTGTGATCTGCCAGATACAATCACGTCATCGAGATACACTTGAACGCCCTCCAGTCCTTCCAACACACATTCCATCATCTTTTGGAAGCACTGGGGCAGCGATTTCAGACCAAAAGGGCAACGTTTATATCTCCACACCTGTCCTTCATGAATGAATGCAGTCAGATCACGGGAGCTCTCGTGCAGCTCTAGTTGATGGTACGCAGCTTTCATGTCTAATGAAGAGAATACAACTGCTCCCTGAAGACGGTCTAGCATTTCCTGCATATCTGGGATCGGATGACCGTTCGCGATCACTGCTTTGTTTACCTCAGTCAGATCAAGGCAAACTCGAAGCTTACCGTTCCGTTTACGGACGGCCACGATCGGAGAGAGCCACGGCGAGGTGTGTTTGCCGACCTTCTCGATCACCCCTTGCTCTTCCAGCTCTTGCAGGTGCTTGGTGACGTCCTCCCTCACAGCGTAGGGCAGTGACCGCAGCTTCTTCTTCACAGGCTCCACGTCAGCCCGTAGCCTGACCTTGTGGACGAAGCCGTTGATTGCTGGGAGCTGGCTGGTCTGTTGGACAAGACAAACATCAGTTCCATTCTTCACAGTCACTCCAAGTGTCCTCTGCAGGTCTCTTCCTAGCAAGGGAATCTCAGCATCAGCTACATAGAACTCTCCTTCTGTCTGTCGACCACACGGGGTTGTTACTAAAGCGCTGAAGACTCCCTGCACGCTGATGCCCGCACCGCCATACGCTTCTAGCTTTACCGTGGCCCTGGTCAGCGGAAACTTACTCAAGGTCTCCCGATACAGGTGCGTGGGTATGATGCTGACTGCTGCACCTGTGTCCACCATCATCGACACGTCATGACCTCCAATGCCAACGGTGTACCACGGACAGTTCGAAGGCATGCTCTTTTGAACGGTAAGCACCTGTACTGCCCCCACCTGACGATCTTTAGCATCTGTGTCATTCCGCTTTGTACGACAGCAACGACTGAAATGACCTGTCTCGTGACATTTGTAACACTGCTTCTCTTTTGCAGGGCATCTCCTATCACCCGACCGGTGTCCTCTCCTACCACAGGCATAGCATGGACCGTACCGGAGGCTGCGAACGGGTTCACATACCTCTTCTTGCTGTTCAGCAGCTGGTCCGACTTCTGCTACCTGCGCAGCTGCTGGACCGGTTGATCCCTCTGCAGCACCTCTCAGGACGCCTCGCCGCTGAAGACCACGATCGACCGCCTCGGCGATGTCCTCCAGCTTCTCCAGGGTCAGGTTATCCTTCAAAAGAAGCTTGTCACGCAGCTGGTCAGACAGACATCCCTCAATGAACTGGTCTCTAACCATTTCGTCCCTCAGATCACCAAAAGAGCAACTTTGAACAGCTTCTTTCAAGTTTGCAAGATAGACGAGAGCTGTTTCTCCCGGCTGTTGAACACATCGTCTGAATCTTACTCTTTCAGTTCGTACATCAGCGTCTTTTACAAACAACTTCTCCAAGATCTTTACTGTACTGTCGTACATTGACGTGGGGTCATCCTTGATGTCAGCGTCTGACTCAACAGAAGACTCGATTGATTCAATCGCTCTGAACAGCCTACGGGCCTCTGTGCCAACGCAGTGC